TTCATTGCAAAAATGTACCATTTTAACCTTGTTCTAAGTGTCTTGTTGTGAAAAGGGGGCTGAGATGTTAAGAAAAAAAAGCAAAATGTAAGCCCCGCCCACCCGCCCTATCTCAAATTTGATGATTTTTTTATTCTGGTATAACTAGTGCCTGATAATTTTAGAAATTTTGGAAAATGTGGAAATTCTGGTCATTTCGTGCACTTTGGAAAATCTGAAAAATTGGGCCAATTTGGAAAATCTGAACATTATGAAAATTTTGAAAATCTTGCAAATTACGAAAATTCCCAAAAACTAAAAGAAAATAAAAAAATACTGTATATCAAAATTTCAAAAGTTTACACAATCTTAAGATTAGAGATATTCTAAAAATTCTAAAGTTTCGAATTGTTTGAAATATTTAAAACGTTTAAAACCTTTCAAAAATTCTAAAAATCTTAAAGTTTTCATACACTAGAATAATAGTAAAGGTACCAAAGACGCTAAATAAACTAAAATTTTAGGTTCTAAATAGAAGAAACATTCAACAAAATCTTAAAAATTGTAAAGATCTTGGAAGTATTAATGTTCCTAGAAATTATGAAAATTCTAAACTTTCTAGAATTTGTGAAGTATCCAAAATTCCCAAAGATTGTTAAGAACTCTGAAAACTCTAAAGATTCTAAATACTCTAAGGACTCAAAGGTTTTTAAAATTCTGTTCCAAATATTTCAAAGATTCTATAATTTTTAAAAAACGCATGAACTCTTAACATGAAAAAAATTTTGAAGATTCCAAAGACTCTAAACAAAACAATAATCCTAAAAGTCTAAAATTTATAAAAACTGAAGAACGCTTCCTTTAATTTTTATCAGTCCTACAAGTATTAGGGGTCTTGAACACCCTTATCATTATCTTATACATCTCAGCGATTCTAAAGATTCCAAAGATACAAAAAATTTCAAAGATTTAAAGACTCTTGGGGTCTATTAATTTTAGAAAATCTGGAACTTCTGGAGGTTTCAAAAATATACTCAATTCTAGAAATTCTAAACATTTTACTGAATTTGTGAAAATATTCCAAATAGTGTGAAAATTCAAAGTCTTCTCTAAATTTCAAAGATTTTGAAGATTCTAAAGTTGCCAAAACCCTAAGGAGTCTATTAATACTAAATTGATATATGTGCCCTTGCTAAAATGTTAATCACGTTATCAAAAAAAAACCCAAAGACAATTTTTGGTTGATTTCGGATTGTAAAAGCACTTTTCCAGAATCACCAAAATGAACTAATACCATTTTTGGGATATTTTAAAAGGTTCATTTTGACGTAAAAAATTTCGAAAATCTCAGTCTGGGTTCATCAACCGACTATGTTTTTCGAATTAGCTTATCAATATGCATATTCCACAAATGTTTGTACATTTTTAGACAACTTAACAAAATATCGATTTTTCAAAACCTCCCCCTCTCCCGTCTGTGATTTTTTCTGAGTTCTTTCTAAAATTATTTAAAGAAATTTGTTTGTTGATTTCGACTTGCAGAAATCATTTTCAGCAACATTTTTTAAAACATTCCAACCACTTTTCCAGAATCATCAAAACGAAACATAGACATTTTTGACATTTCAAAAATTTTATTTTGAAACTGAAAATTGAAAATCTTGGTCTGAAATCGTCAACAGGTCATGTTTTTTAATCAGTTCATCGATATTCTTATACCAGAAAAAAATTTGTTCCTCGAAAATTACTAAAAGTCATTTTTTTATCGATTTTGACTCACAGAAATCATTTTCGGCAACATTTTTTCGAAAACTCGAGCCGCTTTTACGGAACCATGAAAATTAAACATTGCGATTTTTGGTATATTATTTTAAAATTTTATTTTTTGAACCGGCTGTTTTTTGAATCAGTTTGTCGATATCTATATCCTAAAATGTTTGTGGATTTTTAGACAACTCTGGTTAAAACTAAATTTTTCAATGCCCCCAATGAAATTTTTGACTTTTATCAGAACATTTTCGAAAATTGCCCAGCCATTTTTTTGTTGGTATAGATTCACAGAAGTCATTTTCGGAAACATTTCCTAGAAAATTACAACCACTTTTCAAAATTTCAAAATGAAATATAGATACCTACTTTTAGCATTTCAAAAATTTTTGGGAAACTTAAAAAAATCGATTCTGTAATGAAAAATTTTGGAAATTTTGGTCTGGGTCCCTTAACAGGCTGTTTTACGGATCAGTTCGTCGATCTCTGTATTCGAGAATTTAGTGTGGACTTTTAAGAAGCTTTCCCAAAAGCTCAATTCTTCAAAGTTCTGATGACATTTTTGACGTCTTTCAGGGCATTGTCGAAAATTACCTGAAGACATTTTTTGTTGATTTCGACTCGTAGAAGCTTTTCTTAGAAAATTTGAACTATTTTTCCAGAACCATCAAAATAATATATAGCTATTTTTGGAACATTTTAAAAATTTCATTTTGAAGGTGAAAATTTCGAAAATCTTTCTCTGGGGCCGTTAACAGACCAGTTCTTTGATATCTATTTTCTAGAATTTTCTCTGAATTTTTAAGCAACTCTACCGAAAGCTCAGTTTTTCAAATTTCGCTAGGAAATCTTTGACTTTTCAACAAGCAATTTTGAAAATTACCCAAAATTTGGTAATTTCACATTGTAGAAACACTTTTCCAGAATCACCAAAATGAATCACGGTCATTAATGTTTTTTTTTAAATCTAACTCTTAACATGACAAAAATTTTAAAGATTCCAAAGACTCGAAACAAAACAAAAATTACAAAAATCTAAAAATCGTATAGTAATAAGAACGCTTACTTTAATTTTTACAAGTATTAGCGGTCTTGAACATCCTAATTATTATCTTATACATCTCAGACATTCTAAAGATTCCAGAGATCCCAAAAATTTCAAAGATTTAAAGACTCTTTTGGGGTCTATTAATTTTAGAAAATCTGGAAACATCTAGAAAGTGCGAACAATCTGGAAGACCTAGAAGTCTTGAAAACTGATAAAAATGTTGAATTCTGGCATATCAGAAGATTGATATTTTTATAACATTTAGAAAGTCTGGAACTTCTGGAAGTTTCAAAAATTTACTCAATTCTAGAAATTCTAAACATTTTACTGAATTTGTGAAAATATTCCAAATAGTGTGAAAATTTAAATTCTTCTCTAAATTTCAAAGATTTGGAAGACATTAAGGATGCCAAAACCCTAAGGAGTCTATTAATACTAAATTGATAAATGAAAAAACTGATTATAAAGATAAAAAAAAAAGAATTCTCAAAGTTAAAGTTGATAATAATTTTTCGAAATTTCCAGTTTTCGTATTTTTGTATCCTTTTTACTCCTCGAGTGTAAGTAAAAGAAGTATTGTAAACTACTAGGGAAACCCAAGATTATTTCAAACTCTTTCAAAAATTATCAGGGGCCTCCAAAATCGTTTCAAACTCTCACAAAACACCAGAAGCCCGAAATGAAATGAGATTACGGGTCATTGAATGGAATGTCAAATATTGTATATTTGGTTGCATAACTCAATTCTTCTCTAATTTTTAAAGATTTTGATTATCGAAAAAATATTGTAACTAACACGTTAGTCAATGGCTGGTTAACAATCTCGACGTTTTTTAGTGCTTTCATTAAGCAACTCGCTCGATAAAAAATCTATTCACATACATGGCTGACATCTCGATGAAGTTAAAAAAAAATAGATCGCTGCATACCAAAACTGAACTTCTCATGTCGGATTGACTAATGGTGTTTCTGGGAAAATGGTAACACTTTTCAAAGAAATGGATCCAAAAATAATTTCTCCAAATGAAAAAGTTGCAAAAGATTATTTAATATAAAAAATACAATTATTTGTTTTTTATTATTATTATTATTTTACAAGTTACAATGCAGACTGCAGACCAGTGACGACTGCATTGTGCACCTAGTGGTGTGTGGTGGGGGTAGATATATACATCCTACCTCCAGGCATGTGAAACAACTGTACGTGTAGTTCTAACTTGTGTTTGAATCTTGTTTCAAATGAACACTTTTCACACTGATTCTTTGAATGCATATTACTCACGTGGTTTCTTAAATATCTTTCAGTCCTAGTTTTAAATTGGCATTGTTCGCATTTGTACCACTTAATTTGTTCTTCATCTAGATGTTTTAAAATTACGTGCTTATTTAAGCAATTTTTATACCTACTTTTGAATGGACACTCATTGCACTCGTACCATTTAACTTCATCTTCTGTCAAGTGTAATTTTGAGTGAGTATTAAAATGACCTTTTGTTATGGTTTTATAAGGACATTTTTCACACTTGTACCATTCAAGATCTTTTTCATCAGAGTGCTTCCGTTGTGTGTGTATTTTTAAGGCAGATTTATATTTACAGTTATATGGACACAAGTCGCATGCATACAGTTTGTTCAAATCGTGGTTTTTGATGTGACTTTTTAAATTCTTTTCAAGTTTACTTTTGTAGGGACATTTCGGGCAGTAATACCAACGTATTTCGCCACTTTGCTTGCTTTCGGGATTTTCTTTTTTTCCCGTGCATTCTGAAGTATGTTGGCCCCACTTTAACAAATGATTTGTTTCGAAATCGCACTTTTCGCAGACGTAATTTCGTACACTGAAGTCCTCAATTGATTCAACTTTAAGGCTGTGATTTTTGTTAATGTGTTGTTTGAACAGAATCGTTAGTTCCGTTTTAAAATCGCAGTCTTTACAATGATACTCTTCAATTTTGGCGTTTTCGCACGTATATTGTTCCTGAGATGAACGGTGTCGTCGCACGTGGTTCACCATAAAGAAAAACGATGTTGTAAAATAGGGACACAGTTTACAGTTGTGGACGTTTTTCCAGGAAGATCTTCCCCATGCCCGGAGTGATTCAGAATACTCCAAAGTTGACATTTTGGTGGTCTGAAACAGAGAATGTTCTCTGGTCTGAAACGTCTTATTAGTATTACACTGAGGGGAGAATGCAACTTTAGTTACCAAAATATTAATCCAGGAGTCTCACAAAGATTAGACAGTGGTAGTTCTCGTTTCAGCTAGAACATAGTAAATTTACAATACACGTAATAATTTTCCGGCTTCAATAATAGCAAAAATTATTTTTCCCGGCTTTAATTTAGGTTAGTTGAAGTTATTGAGGTTATGTTGATAAAATAGAAATATCCTTACCTAGTAACTTCAACTGCTACATGTTGGCTATTGTTTTTAATTTTAGTTTGAAAAACTAAAAAATCGGGAAATAGAAAAATCTAAAATTTAAAATACCGAAACGTTGAAAAGGGCATATTAAACGTAAATCCAACTAAGGAACCTTGCAAAGAACCTAAGTTGTGATCGGAAAACTAGAGAAATCGTTCAAAAAGTGTAGCCAATATATACCAATTGAAGTTACTAGCTAGGGATATTTTTAATTTATCCATATAATAATAACAAATCAGTGTTTGTTGATTAACACGTGACCAGTAGGTGATGGGTGTTTAAAATCTTAATAATTATAATTCTTGTTATTATTTCTATTGGAAAATATCACCCGCTTTTCGCGTCGTTTTTGACGTAAAAATGTTAGGTTAGTTTCTTAACAAGTAAACAAAAAGTTGTATTTGCTTCCCCATTAGTGTAATAAAACGATTTTAGGCAACCAAAATGTCAACTTTCGAATCATGGAAGAACGTCCACAACTGTAAACTGTGTACCTATTTCACAACATCGCTTTTCTTTATGGTAAACCACGTCAGACAACACCGTTTCCTTACGGAAAAATTCGCTTGTGGAAGCGCCGAAATCGAGTTCTACCACTGCAAAGACTGCGATTTTAAAACGGAACTAACGATTCTGTTCAAACAACACATTAGTAAAAATCACAGCTTTAAAGACGATTCATCCAGTGAGGAGTTCATCATACGAAACTACGTTTGTGAAAAATGCAGCTTTGAAACAAACCTGTCGCTAAAATGGCTTCAACACACTGCAGCATGCACAAAGAACAAAGAAAATCTTGATTGGTATTACTGTACGGAATGTCCCTACCGAGCTAAAGTCAAAAGTAACTTAAAATGTCATCAAGAAAGCCGCCATTTGAACAAACAATATGCCTGTGATAAGTGTCCGTTTAAAACTGGCTGGAAAGCCGCTTTAAAAATCCACATAAACCGAATCCATTTGGACGAACAAGACGTTAAGTGGCACGAGTGTGACAAATGCCCGTTCAAAACTAAAACAAAAAGCAGCTTAAAAAGACACATCGACTACGTACACCTGACCAAAGACGACATTAAATGGTACGAATGTGATAAGTGTCCATTCAAGACTAAGTATAAATCGAATTTTAAAAATCACGACATTTTGAAACATCTAGACGAAGAAAAAATCAAGTGGTACGAATGTAAAAGTTGCCCGTTCAAGACTAAGCTGCTGTGGAGTTTGGAAAAGCACGTGATTACGCGACATTCGGACGAAAGGCAGTGTAAGTGGTACGAATGTGGCAAGTGTTCGTACAAAACCAAATCGATTTCAACTTTGAATAAACACAGGAATGATAATCATTCGGAAAAACCGGAAGGGTATGAATGTGTGAAGTGTTCGTATAGAAGTAAAACGAAAAGGAATTTGCAGCGGCATGTAAAGGTCCATTTGGAGGTTAAATCGTATCAGTGCGAATATTGTCCGTATAAAGCTAACGCCAATTATCTTTTGAAGCATCATGTGAATAATCGCCATTTGGATGAAACGGAGGTTAAATGGTACAAGTGCGAAAAGTGTCCGTACAAAATTAAAAATCAATCGTCGTTCTACAAACACAAAAGGAAAGTGCATTTGTAGGACCTAATTTATTTTGTGTGGTAGTTTTTCATTAAAATTTCCAAAAAAAACAGAGTTGAATGTTTATTTTCCCAGTTTTTAAGGTTAGGAAAGTAGTTTCAAACTGAATTGCCAATGTGTACCAATTGAAGTTACTAGTTACTATCTAGGGATATTTACTATTTTACAAACATACGTCACCTAACCTAAACGTCAAATCTTTCAAATTGTAATTATTTAAGCCGGAAAGTGATTACATGTACTGAAATTTGCGTGTTTTAAATTTAAATGAAACGAGAACAATCGCGCCCAAGCACCGTCTAATCTGCTCAATTTTGACGTGAAAATGTTAGGTTAGAGATCAAAGTTTCAAAACCTTTGTAAGAGTCCTGGAAGGGTATTTTGGTAACAAAGTTGCATTCGCACCTCAGTGTAGTACTAATAAAACGTTTCAGGCTACCAAAATGTCATCTTCATGGAAAAACGTCCACAACTGCAAACAGTGTCCCTATTTTACAACATCGGTTTTCTTACTGGCGAACCACACGCGACGACACCGTTCCTCTCTGGAAAAATATACGTGCGAAAACACCAAAATTGAAGACTATTATTGTAAAGACTGCGATTTTAAAACCGAACTAACGATTCTGTTCAAACAACACATTAATAAATATCACGGCATTAAAAACGAATCTGAGGACGATTTATCACTGCAGGACTTCAGTGTACAAAACTACGTCTGCAAAAAGTGCGATTTCCAAACAAATTTTTTGTTAAAGTGGGGTCAGCACACTTCAGAATGCTGTGGAAAAAAGGAAAATCTGCTAAGTGTGAGTTCTGTGAAAGAAAATATTTTCCATTTCAAGAAAATTAACGGAGAACGTTGGTATTACTGTGCGCAATGTTCCTATAAATCTACGAGAAAAAGCAGTTTAAAATGTCACATGGAATGGCGCCATTCGAACACGTGGTATGCATGCAACAAGTGTCAATTTAAAAGTAAATCTGAAACAGGTTTAAAATACCACGTAAAACGAAGACACATAGACGAACAAGACGTTGAATGGCACAAATGTGACAAGTGTCCATACAAAACCGCAACAAAATGCTACTTAAATAGCCACGTAAAGTTACACTTGAAAGACGATGAAGCTAGATGGTACCGATGCAACGAGTGTTCGTACAAAACTAAGTACAAAGGTTATGTGAAGATTCACGTGAATTTAAAACATTTACACGAGGATAAAATTACGTGGTATGAGTGTGAACAGTGTCAGTATAAAACTAGGAATAAAGCGTATTTAAAAATACACGTGAATAAAAGCCACGTGAAAAAGAATGCCAAGTGGCATGTATGTGATAAGTGTTCATTTAAAACCACAGTGAAAAGTGCTTTACAACAACACGTAAAATTTTTTCACGTCAATGAAAACGACGCTACGTGGTATGAATGCAATGGGTGTCCGTTTAAAACCATGGTTAAAGCATATTTGGACAAGCATGTAAAAGCGAAGCATCTGAATGAAGAAAAAACTAAGTTGTACGAGTGTAAAAGTTGCCCATTCACGACTAAATGGGCGTCGAGTTTAAATAAGCACGTAATTCGGAGACATTTGGATGAGGGAAAAAGTTCAGTGGCGTGAATGTGAAGTTTGGTCATTCAGAAACAAATGTATTACAGATTTAAAGAAATATGTTTTTTTGAGATTCATGATTTTGTAAATAGCATTTAATTTATTTTAAGTTTGGTGTAGAGAAAGTTCCTGATTAAATTAATAAAATAAATTCACGCATTTGTTCCAGATTAGCCCAATTTTTCAGATTTTTGGAAGTACACAAAATGACCAGAATTTTCACATTTTCCAAAATTTCTTAACTGCAAAATACTTATTTCATTACAAGAAATTAAAAATATGTTTTTGAGTATTGTGTTGTTCAAAAAATGCTACGAATATTAAGAAAAAAGGGGCAAAATATAAACCCCACCCACCCACCCTATCTTAATTGTAATGATTTTTTTATTTTTAGAAACTTAAAACGCGTTTAAAGTGGTAAATTTTTGAAAGGAAATATGGATTTTGCAGTTAGGCTTTGCCCCTCGGTTTACGACGAATAAAAAAAATGATCAGAATTGAGACGGGGTGGGTGGGTGGGGCTTATATTTTGCCTTTTTTCTCAATATACGTGGTCGATTTTGCATTACAAGAAACTTAAAACATAGTTAAAATGGTAAATTCTTGAAGACAAATATGGATCTTTCAATTAAGCCCCGCCCCTCGATCTGACAACGAATGAAAACTTCATCACGATTGAGATGCAGACGGATGGGTGGAGCTTCTCTTTTTTCTTTATATAACACGATTATTGAAGAACATATTTCATAAGGTAATTTCTCGTAGAAAAATAAGGACTTTACAATTAAGCTCCGCCCGTCGGCTTACGACCGATAAAAAAAATCATCAGAATCGAGATAGGGTGGGTGGGCGGGGCTTATATTTAGCCTTTTTTTTTCTTTATATCATAGCCATCTTTTCAAAGCAAGAAACTACAAATTATAAACACAATAAATACAGTCGACACACCTTATATAATAATAAAAGCGCAAACAAATAAGATACCAAATGAAAATCGCAAAGTCCTGATAGTTATCGCCAAAACTGTTGAATTAAAGTTAGGTTAGGTAACTGTCAGTTTTTGACATTTGTGGAGCGCCATCTAGCGACAATGAAATTTGCCTATAAACTTATATTTATCGCCACTAAAGTCGCGATCTTTTCTATAGAACCACTCCCTAGTGTAAATTTTCAAAATTTGTTTGGTGTAAGTGACCTTGACGGGTTTCTGGGGGAAAACATATGTGTCAAAAATTTGACAGGTTAGATGGCCCCATTGTCAATGTAGATATTTTATTTTAATAAATAGATGAACAGAACATACAGTCTGCACGGGATACAGTGCGGCATAGCTGAGGGCAACCGAAACATTCGTGTTGTGCTAGTTTCGATTGCCATGTCAACTACCGCTACCAACCGCGTTCGGCGTAAAGTACTAGATGACAGGGCTGCCAACTTGACTTTTTATCGAGTGGTTCCGTAGAAATGACCGCTACTGTACCTTTATTTTTATGTTTAGATTTTTGTCAAACGCTTAAAATCTCTTTTTGGATTGTTATATGAATTCCAGTGATGGAATAATGTTTTCAGATTTTGTAAAAAATTATACGCATTTCAAAAATTTATCAGCAAGGAACTTAACAAGAAAATAAAAATCGATAAATCTTTGGAGATCTTGAGATCTACAAGAAAGTTTCTTTATATTTTTTTTTTCTGAAAGCATGATGAATTTTAGTTGTTTTTCAAAGTGTGCTAAAATTTTCAAAATCTTTGTGGCGGAGTTTCAGTTAAAATATACAGAGAGAATTTATCTTTGTTCACAAACTATCAAAATTTAAACGTTTTTGTGATTTTTGGGATGTACAAGAATTTTTTGATTTATATTTTTAGACCTGTTCTTTTCAGCTTTTCTGTTCCAAGATATTTTCAGTTTTTTCCAAAATGTGTCGAAACTTTCGAATTATTTCTCGATAAAAAAGTCTCAGTTAAAATATTTAGATTTTTTTTTTAAACTTAACGCTAACATTTAAAAAATTATGAGTTGCATAATTTGAAAGTGATTATCAAAATTTGGCGTTTTTGTGATTTTAAGATCTACAGGAACTTTTCTTTAGATCTTTTGTTCTCAGCTTTTCGAATTGAAATAATTCTGAATTTTAGTTTGAAATTTCCAAAACATAAAATTAGGCATTCAAAATGTAAATTTTTGTATGGGAATCTGGATTTTGCAATTACGCTCCGCCTCTCAGTCTGCCAACGAATAAAAAATTCATCACAATTGAGACAGGGTGGGTGGGCGGGGCTTATATTTTGCCCTTTTTTTCTTAATATGTGTAGTTTTCTTTTGGATAGAAATTCAATATTTTTTAAGTCGACATATCGCATAAAACTTTGTGGCGAAATTTTAGTCCAACACTCAAAATTTATATTTTGTTCACAAAATGTCAAAATTTAGATTTCGTAATTTTTGCAATCCACAAAAATTTTCGTTTATATTTTTAGACTTGTTTTTTTCAGCTTTTCTGACCTAAAGTATTTTTAGTTTTTTTCGAAAATTGCCGAAATTTTCAATATGTTAGTGGAGCTTATATTTTGCTTTGAGATTCAATATTTTTTTCTTTTCTTTTAATTTTTGGAAATTTTCGTAATTTGCAAGATTTTCAAAATTTCCAGAATGTTCAAATTTTCCAAATTAGCCCATTTTTTGAGATTTTCCGAAGTACACAAAATGACCAGAATTTCCACATTTTCCAAAATCTCTAAAATGACCAGTTATACCAGAATTTTCAAATTCAACTTTTTCCAATATTTTCAAGAAAGCATTTTCCCGATCTTTACGATTTTTAGGTCTTTAAGATTTTTGTTTTCTTTAAAGTCTTTGGAATTTTAAAATCTTTGGCATTTTAAGAGTTCGCGCGATTTTACAAGTTTTAGAATCTTTGGCCTTTTGGAGTTTCTCTAGAACCTTTAGAATCTTTCAAGTATTCGGAAGAGAATTTTAGCTTTTGACCCCTTAGAGTCCTTAGAGTCTAGACCCTTTAGAACCTTTACAATCTATGGAAATTTTGAACAAATTCTCTATCTTTTTTGTATTTGACACTAAAAACAATAGCCAACATGTATTATATGAAGTTACTAGGTAGGGATATTTTCTATTTTACCAACATAACCTCAATAACTTCAACTAACCTAAATTAAAATCTGAAAAAATAGTTTTTGTACTGTAAATTTACTATGCTTTAGTTGAAACGAGAACATCACGCCCTACCATCGTCTAATCTGCTCAAATTGTATTTTTGCAAAAAATCGAAACGTCATTTTTGACGTGAAAAAGTTAGGTTAGAGAAGACCAAAGTTTCAAAGCCTTTGTGAGACTCCTGGAACTATATTTTGGTAACCAAAGTTGCATTCTCTCCTCAGTGTAATACTAATAAGACGTTTCAGGCAACCAAAATGTCAACTTTGGAGTATTCCGAATCACTTCGAACATGGAGAAGATCTTCATGGAAAAACGTCCACAACTGTAAACTGTGTCCCTATTTTACAACATCGGTTTTCTTAATGGTGAACCACGTGCGACGTCACCGTTCATCTCAGGAAAAATATACGTGTGAAAACGCCAAAATTGAAGAGTATTATTGTAAAGACTGCGATTTTAGAACAGAGCTAACGATTCTGTTCAAACAACACATTAAAAAAAATCACGGTGTTAAAAGTGAATCTGGGGACGATTTATCACTCCAGGACTTCAGTGTACGAAATTACGTCTGCGAAAAGTGCGATTTTGAAACAAATCTGTCCTTGAAGTGGGGCCAACATACTTCAGAATGCACGGGAAAAAGAGAAAGTCTCCAAAGCAAGCAAAGTGGCGAAATACGTTGGTATTACTGTGCGAAGTGTCCCTACAAAGGTAAACTTGAAAGGTATTTACAAAATCACGTAAAAAAACACGATTTGAACAGACAGTATCCATGCAACTTGTGTCCATTTAATAGTAAGTATAAATGTGCCTTAAAAATGCACACAAAACGGAAGCACTCTGATGAAAAAGATCTTGAATGGTACAAGTGTGAAAAATGTCCTTACAAAACCATTACAAAAGGTCATTTTAATGTTCACTCAAAAGTACACTTGAAAGAAGATGAAGTTAAATGGTACGAGTGCAATGACTGTTCATACAAAAGTAAGAGTAAATATACCTTAAAGAAGCACGTAACTTTTATACATCTAGATGAAGGACAAATTAAGCGGTATGAATGCGAACAGTGCCCATTTAAAACTAAAGCTAAAAGATATTTAAAAAGCCACGTGAATAAAGTCCATTTAAAGAAACATAACACTGAATCGCATATGTGTGAAAAGTGTTCATTTAAAACCACATCCAAACAGAGTTTACAACAACACGTAAATTTGTTTCACGTGGATGAAAAAGACACTAATTGGTACGAATGTAATGAGTGTCCATTCAAAACCAATGTAATATATTTAAACAAGCATGTCGATGGAGAACAACTAAAGAAAGAAACAATTAAGTTGTACGAGTGTAAACATTGCCCCTTCATGACTAGTTGGCCTCCGGATTTACGAAAGCATGCGATTACTGGACATTCCGACGACAATGGAGCTAAGTGGCACCAGTGTGAAAAATGTTCGTACAGAACTAAATCGATTTCAACTTTGAATAAACACAGAAATGTTGATCATTTAGAGAAAACAAAATGGTATGAATGTACGAAGTGTCCGTATAAAAGTAAAATAAAATACTATTTAAAACAACATGTAGACTCGCATTTGGAGGTGAAACCGTATGAGTGCGAATATTGTCCATATGCATCGAAACGTCGTACGAATTTACAGCGTCATTTAAAGTCACATGAATCACATCCATCCACAAAGTAAAGATGTATTTTTACACTAAATAAATATTATTTAAAAATGTTTATGGCAATCTATTTTTTCAGAATCTCATGATTATTGCATTTTATTAATTTAACAAAATTAAATCACATCGAATATTTTGAAATGAGACATGCATTTTTGGTACGCAGCGATCTATTTTTTTCAACTTCATAGAGATGTCAGCCATGAGTTTGTAAATAGATTTTTAACGAACGAGTTGCTAAAAAACGTCAAGATTGTTAGTCAATCATTGACTAACGTGTCAGTTACAATATTTTTTCGATGATCTAAAGTCTTTAAATATTGAAGTAAAAATTGAGTTATGCAACCAAATAAACATCTATAAGTATCACTTTGGACTTCTAGTGTTTTGTGAAAGATTTTGAGGGCTCCTGATAATTTTGAAAGAGTTTGAAAGAATCTTGGGATCCTCTATATATTTTTTTAATATGAAACAATCTTCGAGACTCCTTGAAAGAGTTTGAAAATATCTCGAGAGCTCCTGGTGTTCGTCTTATCAAAGAGTTTGAGGAAATCTTAAGGACCTCTAGTGTCTATTATTAAAGAATGTTTGAAAGAATTTCAAAAGATCTTGGCAGTTCCTTTTGAACCCATCAACTGTTCCCTGATCAATCATCTGTTTTTTTCTTAAAATGCATAGCATTCTTTGAACAACACGATACTCGCAAACATGTTTTTTATTTCTTGTAGAGAAATACGAATTTTGCATGGTTAAAATGGTAAATTCTTCTAGACAAATATGGATCTTGCAATTAAGCCCCGCCCATCGATATGACAACGAATGAAAAATTCATCACAATTGACAGCTGGGATCAAGGCGGGTATGGGTTGGGCCTAATCTTTGTCTTATTTTTTTCTTAATATACACAGAATCCTTTGAACAACACGATACTCAAAAAGATGTTTTTAATTTGTCATAGAGAAATAAGGATATTGCAGTTAAGCTCCGCCCTCTTGGCTCACGACGAATAAAAAAATCATCAGAATTGAGGTAGGGTGGGTGGGTGGGGCTATATTTTGCCCCTTTTTCGTAATATGTGTAGGCTTAATTCGACACTAGAAACTTAAAACATGTCTAAAATGGTAAATGTAGTAAATCCACCACTTTTCTTCTACAACCTCTTTAAATACGGCAAAAGTTGCACGTCAAAGTTACTATCAACGGCAACATGGCAACAAAGGTTATAAATGACAATTTTCAGCTCTAAAAGCAATGTCAGCGAATTTTTCATTCGTTGTCAGAGTGGAAGGAGGAGCTTAATTTCAAAATCGATATTTATCAATAAAATTGACCATTTTAAACATGTTTTAAGTATTTTGTTATGAAATGAGGATCGTATATTAAGAAAACAAAATTACTCAAATTTTTATAAATACAACATTTGTATCAGCATTTTTGTATTTTGTGATTATTTTTTAGTTAATAAAATTTTAAAGAAATAAACAACTAAATGTTTCAGGGATATTTGTTATTTTACCAACATACAATAATAAGTTTTAATCTTTATTTCCATCGGAAAATTACAACATGCAGTATAAATTTAAAAGTTATTCAAAATTCAGATTTGTTGATGACAATCTACGTTAAAAAATTGATAGAATAAAAATAAATCATCGCAATCGAGATACGGTGGGTGGGCGGGGTTTATATTTTCCCTTTCTTTCTTAATATACCTAGTGTTCTTTAAAAAACACTATACTCAAAAACATGTTTTTAATTCCTCATTGAGAAACAAGGATTTTACAGTTGCGTTCCGCCCCCTTGGCTTACAATGAATAAAAAAAATCATCACAACTGAGATAGGGCGGGTGGGCGGGGCTTACATTTTGCCTTTTCTTCTTAATATTTGTAGTCATCTTTTCACAACAAGAAACTTAAAACTTGTTGAAAATGGTAAATTTGTATAGGGAACAATCGACTTCTGGTTTACTTTTTGAATTAATACATTTAGTTTTTTTTGTATAACACATATAACATATTTCACATGGCAATTTCTCGTAGAAAAATTAGGATTTTACAATTAAGCTCCACCCCTCTGCTTACGACGAATAAAAAAATTCATCAGAATTGAGATAGGGTGGGTGGGCGGGGCTTATATTTTGCCTTTTTTTTTTAATATCATAGCCATCTTTTCGCAACAAGAAACTTAAAACATGGGTAAAATAGTTCATTTTTGCAAGGAAATATGGATTTTGTAATTATGGGGCGGAGCCTAATTACAAAATGGATATTTTCTTCTACAAAGTTTCCATTTTAAACATGTTTTAAGTTTCATGTTGTGAAAAGAATTCTACAGATGTTTATTAAAACAAAAATACATAATGTAGGCCCGCCCACCCGCCCTATTTTTATTGTAATGATTTTTTTTATTCGCCGTGAACGAAGGGGGCAGAGCTTAACTGCAAAATTATTATTTCTTTGCAAGAAATTAAAAACATGTTTTTGAGTACCGTGGTGTTCAAAGAATACAATGTATATTAAAAAAAAAGACAAAATATAATTTCTCGTATGGAAATAAGGATTTTGCAGTTAAACTCTGCCCTCTTGGCTCACGACGAATAAAAAAAAATCATCACAATAGAGACAGGGCGGGTGGGCGGGCCTACATTATCCCTTTTTTTTTTTCTTAACATGGGTAGACTTATTTGGAAAACAAGAAACTTAAAAAATGTTTAAAATGGTAAGTTTGTATAGGGAAAAATCGATCTTGCAATTACGCTCCGCCCCTCGGTCTGACAACGAAGGAAAAATTCATTACGATTGAGATGCAGACGGATGGGTGGAGCTTCTCTTTTGGTTTTCTTTTTTAATTAATTCATTTAGTTTATACAAAGAGTATAACACGATTACTTACGAACACATTTCACATGGTTATTTTTTGTAGAAAAATAAGGATTTTACAATTAAGCTCCACCTCTCGGCTTACGACCAAAAAAAAAAATCATCAGAATCGAGATAGGGTGGGTGGGCGGGGCTTATATTTTGCCTTTTTTTTTCTTAACATATATAGCCAGCAAGAAACTTAGAACATGGTTAAGATGGTACATTTTTGCAAGGAAATATGGATTTTGCATAAGGGGCGGGGCTTAATTGCAAAAACGATTTTTTCCTATACAAATTTACCATTTTAAACATGTTTTAAGTTTGGTATTGTGAAAAGAAGTCTACACACATTAAAACAAAAGACAAAATGTCAGCCCGCCCACCCGCCCTATCTCAATTGTAATGATTTTTTTATTCGCCGTGAAGCAAGGGGGCGGAGCTTAACTGCAAAATTCTTATTTCTTTGCAAGAAATTAAAAATCATGTTTTTGAGTATCGTGTTGTTTAAAGAATATATTGTATATTAAGAAAAAAGAGGGAAAATATAAACCCCGCCCACCCACCCCATCTCATATGTGAAGATTTCTTTTATTCTTGCAAACTTAAAATACGTTTAAAATGGTAAATTTTTGTAGAAAAATACGGATTTTGTAATTAGGCTCCACCTCTTTTTTCTTAATGCATTAGTATACCATGAACAAGTCAAAAACATGTTTTTAATTTCTCGTATAGAAATAAGGATTTTGCAGTTAAGCTCTGCCCTCTTGGCTCACGACGAATAAAAAAATCATCACAATTGAGAGAGGGCGGGTGGGCGGGGCTATATTATGTCTTTTTTTTTCTTAACATGCATAGACTTATTTCGACAACAAGAAACTTAAAACATGTTTAAAATGTTAAATTTGTATAGGGAAATATCGATTTTGCAATTACGCTCCGCCTCTCGGTCTGACAACGAATGAAAAATCCGTCACGATTGAGATGCAGACGGATGGGTGGAACTTCTCTTTTGGTTTTCTTTTTTAATATAATACATTTAGTTTATACAAAGAGTATAACACGATTACTTACGAACACATTTCACATGGTTATTTCTTGTAGAAAAATAAGGATTTTACAATTAGGCTCCGCCTCTCGACTTACGACCAATAAAAAAAAATGATCAGAATCGAGATAGGGTGGGTGGGCGGGGCTTATACTTTGCCTTTTTTTTTCTTAATATCATAGCCATCTTTTCACAACAAGAAACTTAAAACATGGTTAAAATGGTACATTTTTGCAAGAAAATATGGATTTTGCTATTATGAGGCGTAGCCTAATTGCAAAATCGATATTTCCTTATACAAATTTTCGATTTTACACATGTTTTAAGTGTCATGTAATGAAAAGAAGTTTACACATATTAAAACAAAAAGACATAATGTAGGCCCGCCCACCCGCCCTGTCTCAATTGCAATGATTTTTTTTTATTCGCCGTAAACTAAAGGGGCGGAGCTTAACTGCAAAATTCTTATTTCTTCACAATAAATTAAAAACATGTTTTTGAGTGTCGTGTTGTTCAAAAAATACTATGTATTTTAAGACAATCAGGGCAAAATATAAACCCCGCCCACCCACCCTGTCTCAATCGTGATGATTTTTTTATTCTTAGAAACTAGAAACACGTTTAAAATGGTACGTTTTTGTCGAGAAATGTGGATTTTGCTATTAGGCTCCGCCCCTGCGTTTGCCAACGAATGAAAACTTCATTACGATTTAGATCGGGGCAGGAATGGGTGGGGCTTAATCTTTGGTTTAATTTTTTCTATATTCTTTGAACAACAAGATACTGAAAAGCATGTTTTTAATTTCTTGTAAAGAAATTAGTATTTTGCAGTTAAGCTCCGCCCCTTTGGTTCACGGCGAATAAAAAAAATCATCACAATTGAGACGGGGCGGGTGGGCGGGGCTATATTATGTCAAAGTCATTTAATATTATATTATTAACTAACCTTGATATTATGTCTTGTTATTTTCTGAACATGCGTAGACTTATTTCTAAAGCAAGAAACTTAAAACATATTTAAAATGGTAAATTTGTATAGGAAAAAATCGTTTTTGGATTTACGTTCCACCCCTCGGTCTGACAACGAATGAAAAATTCATCACGATTGAGATGCAGACGGATGGGTGGAGCTTCTCTTTTGGTTTTCTTTTTTAATTAATACATTTAATTGTCTTTATATAACACGATTACTTAAGAACATATTTCACATGGTAATTTCTCGTAGACAAATAAAGAATTTAGAATTAAGCTCCACCCCTCGGCTTACGACGAATAAAAAAAATCATCAGAATCGAGATAGGGTGGGTGGGCGGGGCTTATATTTTGCCTTTTTTTTTCTTAATATCATAGCCATTTTTTCACAACAAGAAACTTAAAACATGGTTAAAATCAGAGATTGCTTAGTTAAAATAGCACACTTTTGCAAGGAAACATGGATTTTGCAATTATGGGGTGGAGCCATTTTAAACATGTTTTAAGTTTCATGTTGTGAAAAGAAGTATACACATGTGTATTAAGACAGAAATACATAATGTAGGCCCGCCCACCCGCCCTATCTCTGTTGTAATGATTTTTTTATTCGTCGTGAAGCAAGGGGGCGGAGCTTAACTGCAAAATCTTATATCTTTGCAAGAAATTAAAAACATGTTTTTGAGTATCGTGTTGTTCACAGAATACAGTGTGTATTAAAAAAAAAGACAAAATATAATTTCTCGTATGGAAATAAGGATTTTGCAGTTAAACTCTGCCCTCTTGGCTCACGACGAATAAAAAAAATCATTACAATAGAGACAGGGCGGGTGGGCGGGTTCTATATTATGCCTTTTTTTTTCTTAACATGCGTAGACTTATTTCGACAACAAGACACTAAAAACATGTCTAAAATGGTAAATATTTGTAGTAAAACCTCCACTTTTCTTTTACAACCCATTAAATACGGCAAAAGTTGAACATCTGGCAACACTGCTAAGCAGGGATATTTCTTATTTTACCAACTTCCAGCAGGTGGTAGATGTTTCAAATTTGAACATACAAAAACTTATACGATTGTAATTATTTCTGCCGGAAAAGGATTACCAGTGGTATAAATTTGCTATGTTGTATCGGAATCAAAAACACTTATTATACGCCCTATCACCGTCAAATTGTTATTTTTCAAAATCAAAACGTTAAAAAGTGAGGTTAAAAGTGTCGTGATTCCCGAAACGCCAAAAAGTCGGTAATCACTTGCATTCGCTTGTAAAGTGTAATACTAATAAGCGGTTTTAGGCACCAAAATGTCAACTTTGGAGTACTCCGAATCTCTTCGAGCCTGGGGCAGATCTTCCTGGAAAAATGTCCACCGCTGTAAAGTGTGTCCCTATTTTACGACATCGCTCTTCTTAATGGTGAACCACGTGCGACGACATCGTTCATCTCAGGAAAAATATTCGTGCGAAAACGCCAAAATTGAAGACTATCATTGTAAAGACTGCGATTTTAAAACGGAACTGACGATTGTGTTCAAACAACACATTAATAAAAATCACAGCTTTAAAAACGATTTATCAATTCACGACTTCAGTGTACAAAACTACGTCTGCGAAAAGTGCGATTTTGAAACTAATTTCTCGTTAAAGTGGCGTCAACACACTTCAGCATGCTCGGGAAAAAAAGACAATGTCCAAAGTGTGAGTTCTTTAGAAGACAACCTCCCGTATTATTCCGCTTTCGACCCAATTGACGGAAAACATTGGTTTCACTGTGCCAGTTGCTCCTACAAAGTTAGAAAAAAATCGAATTTAAAAGGTCATTTACGAAGTCACGATTCGAAGAAGCGGTATGCGTGCGACGAGTGTTCATATAGAACTAAATATCGAAGAGGTTTAAGAGAGCACATAAAACGAAACCACTTAAACGAACGAGATGTTGAATGGCACAAGTGTGAAGAATGTCCATTTAAAACTAGAACACAATGTGATTTGAAAAGACACATGAAGAACATACACTGCAAAGAAGAAGACGTTAAATGGTACCAATGTAATGAGTGTCCGTTGAAAACTAGGTATAAAAATTCGTTAAGACAACACGTAGATGTCATCCATTTAAAGAAACCAACTAAGTGGCAAAAGAGGAAGTTAATGATGTTAACTAAGTCAATATTATCAAAATGTACTAATTGAAGTTACTAGCTAGGAATATTTTAATTTACGTTAAGTTTGGCGTGGTTTGGCCGTATTTGTGTGTATAACACGTCTCAGTAAAATTTTGCAAAAAAAAAAACAGTGTTTTATTTTCCACTTCAAACAAATTCGATTTTTTCAACTGAATGACAGTTACTAGTTAGTTACTAGATAGCTAGGGATATTTGTGATTTTACCAACCCACATCAACAGGTGGTGGATCTTCAAAATTTAAACAACTAATAATTATACTAATACAGGGTATAAATTTGCTGTACTTAATTTAAAACCAAAACAATCACGCCCTATCTCCGTCTGATTTACCCCAAATTATTTTCCAAAAAAAAACAAACGTCAATTTTGACATAAAAATTAAAAATGTTAGGTTAGAACTGTCAGACGATAATTTTGTGTTTTAATAGTGCCCCAACGAGACTTCGGTAACCAAAGTCGCATTCGCTTCATGTAACACTAACAATCCGGTTTTAGGCACCACAATGTCAACTTTGGACTACTCCGACTCACTTCGAGCCTGCAGCAGATCCTCCTGGAAAAACGTCCACAACTGCAAATTGTGCCCCTATTTTACAACATCGCTCTTCTTTATGGTGAACCACGTGCGACGACACCGTCTCCCCGTGAAAAAATTCAGTTGCCAAAGCGCCAAAATCGAATTATACCAGTGTAAAGAGTGCGATTTTAAAACGGAACTAACGATTGTGTTCAAGCACCACATTAATAGACATCACAGCCTTAAACACAAAAAAAACGACTGGTTTTACTGTACACAATGTTCCTACAAAGCTCAACACAAACGGTATTTGAAAAGTCACCTAGAAAAACACAATTTGAACAAGCCTTATGCCTGTGATCAGTGTCCATTTAGAACTAGACAAAAACGAAATTTAAGATTCCACGTAAACCGAATACATTTAGATGAACACGATGCTACGTGGCACAAGTGCCAAAATTGTCCGTTTAAAACCAGAACAAAAGCGACTTTAACAAGACACTTAAGTACCTTACACTTGAACGAAGAAGACATTAAATGGTACCAATGCACCGAGTGTCCATTTAGAACTAAATACACAAGTTCATTGAAGCTCCACGTCACTCTGAAACATCTAGACAAAGAAAAAATTAACTGGTACGAATGCAAACAGTGTCCATATAAAAGTAAGTTAAAAGTAGGGTTAAGACTCCACGTAAATCGTCACCACTTAAAATACATAAAAGTAGAAGACGCTGTATGGCACCAATGCAAAAAGTGTCCATTTATAACTCGGATTAAAGGTAATTTGAAGGCACACGTCACTACGAAACATCTACCAGACAAAGAAAAAATCAAGTGGTACGAATGTGAACAGTGTCCGTTTAAAAGTAAACGTAAACATAGCTTAAAAAGGCACGTGGATGTTGTCCATTTATTAAAGAAACAAAATCGTGTTTCGGATCATTTAAAGCGTCATTTAATTTGTACACTTTTGGATGAAGAAAAAATCAAGTGGTACGAGTGCAAAAAATGCCCTTTTAAAACTAGCAAAAAATATGGTTTAAAAACTCACATGAACAACTTACACTTGGACGAAGATGATATCAAGTGGCATCAGTGTAGTGAGTGTTCTTTCAAGGCTAAACACTCGTATCAAGTAAAGCGTCACGTGATTTGTAGACACTTGGATGAGGAAAAAGTCAAGTGGTACCAGTGCGAATATTGTCCACGTAGGACGAAACTAAGGAGTTATTTAACGTCGCATATGAATAAATGCCACTGGGAAAAAACCGAAGCTAATAAATGGTACAAATGCGATCAGTGTCCTTACAAAAGTAGAATTAAATCGTGTCTTTATAAACATACAGAAAAACGACATATATAAAATTAAAGTTTTTAAGAAAAACAAACTGAATGTTTTATTTTCGGCATAAATAGTGTGTACCTTTACCACAATTTGTTTATTTTTCATTTTGATACTGTTATCACGTTTTTCACATGAAATTCAAGAATATAAAAATTCAAAACAAAGATCTAAGAATTCATGACGATGAAGGTAAGCGAAGAAAAATGTTGCTGCCTCTGTGGGAATCGAACCTCACGTTACCCGCTTGCCGGGGGGGTATCCTGACCACTAGACTACGAGGCCGCTTATTTTTCTCCGCTTACCAATGAGTTGTTGTGCCGCGACAAAGATATTGCCGAAGATTATTCAAAAACTCAGAAATTGCAAAAATTTGTGAAAGGGAAACGCGAAAAACCTTAAGATTCCCGAAATTCCAGAATTCAATTAATCAACAATTCAATACATCAAGAATTTAAGATTTTAAAAATCAAATTAATTGTTCGAGGATCCAAGGATCCAAAGTTCCAAGAATTCAAGACCTGAAGCAGCCAAGAATTTAAGAAATCAACACTACAAAAATTCAAGAATTCAAGAAATGAACGAACCAAGAGTTCACGACTTCGTCCTTTTCGTCTTTTTTGTCCTTTGTTCTTTTCGTCCTTCGTCCTTTTCGTCCTTCGTCCTTTTCGTCCTTCGTCCTTTTCGTCCTTGTCGTCCTTTTCGTCCTTTTTCGTCTTTTCGTCCTTTTTGTCCTTTGTCCTTTTCGTCCTTTTTGTCTTTCGTCTTTCGTCCTTTTAGTCTTTTTCGTCGTTCGTCTTATTCGTCCTTGGTTCTTTTCGTCCTTTTGGTCTTCCGCCTTTTTGGTCCTTCGTTCTTTTCGTCCTTTTTCGTTTTTTTTTTCGTCCTTTTCCGCCCTTTTTCGTGGTTTTGTCATTTTTCGTCCTTATTCGTCCTTTTCGTCCATTTTCGTCCTTCTTGATACTTTTCGTCCTTCTTGGTCCTTTTCGTACTTCTTAGTCTTTTTTCGTCTTTTTCGTCCTTTTTCGCCCTTTCTGTCTTTTTTCGTCCTTGATCCTTTTTCCTCTCTTTTCGTCATTATTCGCCATTTTCGTCCTTTGTCGTCCTTTTCTGTCCTTTTTCATCTGTTTTTGTCCTTTTTGTACTTTTTCGACCATTTTCGTCCTTTTTGGTCCTTTTTCATCCTTCTCGTCCTTTTCGTCCTTGTTCGTCCTTTTCGTCCTTTATTGTGCTTTTTGTTCTTTTTCGTCCTCTTTGTCTTTTTTCGTCCTTCTTGGTCCTTTTTCGTCCTTTTCGTCCTATTCGTACTTTTCGTTCTTTTTCATCCTTTTCGTCCTTTGTCGTCCTTTTTCGTCCTTAGTCCTTTTTCGTTCTTGTCATCCTTTCTCCTCCTTTTTCGTCGTTTTTCGCCCTTCTCGTCCTTTTCGTCCTTTTTCCTCCTTTTTCGTCCTTTTCGTCCATTTTCGTTTTTCTTTGTCGTTTTTCGTCCTGTTCGTCCTTTTCGGTCCTTTTTCGTCTATTTCATCCTTTTCGTCCTTTTTCGTCATTTTCGTCCTTTTCGTCCTTATTCGTCCTTTTCGGTCCTTTTTCGACCATTTCCGTCCTTCTTGGTTCTTTTTCGTCCATTTCGTCCTTTTCGTCCTTTTTCGTCCCTTTCACCCTTTTTCAAACTTTTCGTTCTTTTTTCGACCATTTTCGTCCTTCTTGGTCCTTTTCGTCCTATTCGTCCTTTTCGTCCTTTTCCGCCCTTTTTCGTCCTTTTGGTCCTTTTTCTTCCTTCTTCGTCCTTTTCGTTCTTTTTCGTCTTTTTCATCCTTTTTCTTCCTTTCCGGTCCTTTTTCGACTATTTTCGTTCTTCGTGGTCCTTTTTCATTCTTGTCGTCCTTTTCGACCTTTTTCGTCATTTTTGGTCCTTTTTGTCTTTTGTTCGTCCTTTTCGACCTAATTCGTCCTTTTCGACCTTTTTTGTCATTTTTCGTCCTTTTTCGTCCGTTTTTGTGCTTTTTGTCCTTTTTCGATCTTTCCTGTCTTTTTTCGTCGTTTTCGTCCAATTCGTCCTTTTTCGTCCTTCTTGGTCCTTTTCATTATTTTTCGTCCTTCTTGGTCTTTTTTCATCCTTCTCATCGTTTTCGTCCAATTGATCCTTTTCGTTCTTTTCCGTCCTTTTTCGTCCTTTTCGTCCATTTTCGTCCTTTTTGGTCCTTTTTCGTTCTTTATCGTCCTTTTTCGTCCTTGTCGTCTTTTGTCGTCCTTCTTGGTCCTTTTTCGTCCTTTTTCGTCCCTTTCATCCTTTTTCATCCTTCTTGTTTTTTTTTCGCCCTTTCCATCCATCTTGGTCCTTTTTCATCCTTTTCGTCCTTTTTCGTCCTTCTTGGTCTTTTTTCGTCCTTTTCGTCCTTTTCGTCCTTTTTCGTCGTTTTCGACCATTTTCGTTCTTCTTGGTCCTTTTTCATCCTTGTCGTCCTTTTCGGCGTTTTTCGTCCTTTTTTTGTCCTTTTTGGTCCTTTTTCGTCCTTTTCGTTCTTCTTCGTCCTGTTCAGTCCTCTTTCGAATATTTTCGTCCTTCTTGGTCCTTTTTGTCTTTTTTCCTCCTTTTCGATCTATTTCGCCCTTTTTGTCCTTTTCGACCTTTTTTGTCATTTTTCGTCGTTGTTCGTCCTTTTTTGTACTTTTTGTCCTTTTTCGATCTTTCCTGCCTTTTTTCGTCGTTTTATGTCCAATTCGTCTTTTTTCGTTCTTTATCGTCCTCCCTGGTCCTTTTTCATCCTTCTCGTCCTTTTCGTCCTTCTTCGTCCTTCTTGGTCCTTTTTCGTCCTTTTCATTATTTTTGGTCCTTTTCGTCCTTTTCGGTCCTTTTTCGACCATTTTCGTCCTTCTTGATCCTTTTTCATCCTTCTCGTCGTTTTCGTCCAATTCGTCCTTTTCCGTCCTTTTTCGTCCTTTTCGTCCAGTTTTGTCCTTTTTGGTCCATTTCATTTTTTATCATCCTTGTCGTCTTTTGTCGTCCTTCTTGGTCTTTTTTCGTCCTTCTTCGTCCCTTTTTGTCCTTTTGTCGTCCTTCTTGGTCCTTTTTCGTTCTTTGTCGTCCCTCGCATCATGGCCGGCACGCACGGTAATCTCTCGCTCTGCGGAAAATGTAAAAGACAACCAGTTACTTTTGTGAAATGTAAATGTTGTGCACAGTGTTTCCATCTAAGTTGCGCCAAGCTACTTACTCATGTAACTATAATTGATGACAAAACAGTATATTGTTGTGGAAAAGAAAACCTTGAAACCGAGAAACCTAACAAGAAACCCAGTTATCGACAATTGGACGATCAAATAAATTGGGAAACTGTAAGTCCTCAAATTTTCAAATATATTATTAGTGAAAAAAATGCAATGATCGATGAGCTACGAGACAAAATTAACCTATTAAATAATCAACTGAATCTAAAAACCGATTCATACTTCGAAGAAAAACCTGCTGTATCAGCCAATAATGTCAAGTCGCCGACAAAAAAGTATGGCAATAAGAAAAACGTACCAGATGTAAACATCAAGAAAAGCGAAAGTAAGCAGAATTTAAGCAAAAATTCATTATCTGAATTTGGACGCCCAGCTGAAAAGAAGCAAGATCAAGAAGAAAATAGTGTAGACGAAGATACTCAAAATGACGTTAAAGAAGAATGGACTGAAGTCGTCAGTAAGAAAAAACCTAATAAACGTTTCAAAAATGTAGTGATTATCGGAAAACAAGAAAATCAGGGCGAGGTTGTACTCAGAACTGTACCTAAATACCAACAATTGCATGTTTATAGATTAGTACCGGAAACCACTACCAATGACTTGCAAGAATTTTTGAAACCTAATTTTCCCGAGGTGCTGTGTGATCAACTGTCAGCTAAACATCCGGAACAGTACTCATCTTTTAAGGTTTCCCTGTATTCCAATCATATTGCTGAAGCCATGAAGCCAGAAATATGGCCAAAGGGTGCCTGTGTAAGGAAGTTTTTTCAGATCAGGTTGAAGGACTCGCTAACGAAATAGTAAAAAAGTTCTCACCAACAGGACATAATTGCGACTCATTTAAGGTAGATGATAATATTTGTGATACAGATAAATTAAATATCTTTGTTATTAATATACAGTCACTTAGACCTAAATTGTTAGAGTTCGAATATCTTTTAGAGAAAGAAAAAGTTTCAGTGGCTGCTATTAGTGAGCACTGGCTAAAACACGACGAAATGGAAAGCCTTCATTATAAAAATTATCATGTAAAATCACATTTTTGTCGCTCGTCATGTGTTAATGGAGGTTCAATGATTATGTCTGAAAAACTACTTGACTGTTCGTCCATAAACTTAATTGTCAATCTATCAATAGAATGCCAGTGCGAAATTTCTGCTGTAAGATTAGTCAAAGTTAATATTGTATTAATAAACATCTACAGACCGCCTAAAGGTAATATTTGCCTTATGTTAGATGTATTAGCATCAGTTTTTACTAATATTAACACTTTAAGTGAAAATATTTTTTTAGTTGGTGACTTTAATGTTAAATTTAACAGCAATGATCCATTGGAGTCTCGTCTATGTGATCTTTTATTAAGCTATGGGTTAAAACCAACTGTTACTTTTCCAACTAGATTAAATAACTGTTTAGATAATATATTTACAAATGTCAACAAATCTTACTATACAATCACTAAAGTAGAATCTTTATCGTCTGACCATTGTGGTATCAAGTTAGCAATTAATTATCCAAGCATCAAAAATAATCTTAAATGTAATAATAATAATTGTTATAAAATTAGTCGCCCTATTAATGACGAAAGAAAATGTATCTTTTACAATCTTGTTAACGCGGTAGACTGGAGCTTTGTACAATCTCAGGACATGAACATAAATTCAAAATTTAGCTATTTCACCAACATCTTAACTGAACTAGCAGCTCTTGCTTTTCCTCAGAAAATAGTTAAAATTAACGGCACTCGTAGATCTCAAATAAAATGGTTTAACAGTGAACTGAAGCAGATTCGTGACCATTTACATTTTTTAACAGATTTGCATAAGTCTATAAATTCGGAAGAAACGAGGAAGGCAAGAAATATGCAACGTCAGTTATATCGCGATAAACTTAAATTAGCAAAAATAAGCTGTAATAGTCAATTCATTGATAATGCAAGCAATAAGCCTAAAGCGATGTGGCAAATAATTAATGAATCTGAATAATAAAAACTATCAAGGATATTATCATTACTCCTCTTACTAGGCTCATAAATTGTTGCATACGAGCCTCAGTGTTCCCTGATTGCTTAAAAACGGCTAGAATTATCCCCATACACAAAAAGGGTGACAGGAATGACCTGAACAACTACAGACCGATATCCATATTGCCTGTATTTTCCAAAATTTTTGAGAAAGTGTTGCATACGCAATTATATTCCTATTTTGAAAAAAATAATTTATTTTCGAATTTTCAATATGGATTTAGAAAGGAACGCAGCACTAAAAATGCTCTCCTTAAACTAGTCGAAACATTTAATAACTGTTTTGAAAATCGTGAGTTTGGAATTGCCAGCTTTCTGGACCTCAGTAAGGCTTTTGATTGCGTCCCCCATGGTATCTTACTCAACAAAATTCGTAAGTACAACATTAGTGATAATAGCTGTAATCTGATGGCATCATTTCTTGACAATCGCTATCAAATAGTATCATTGGGAAATTTAAATTCTAAATGTCTAAAAGTTCATCATGGTGTGCCACAAGGCTCCGTCCTCGGACCACTGTTGTTCTTAATTTATATCAACGATTTTCCTGCATTCATGCAAAGTCAAATTTTACTTTTTGCCGATGATACTACTTTGATTAATACAGGATCCACTGTTGATGCCACTATTGATCAATGGAAGATGACGCAATCAAAAGCCTGCAGATGGTTCAATGCAAACTGCTTGACCTTAAATCAAGATAAAACAGTCAATATGTCATTTTCATTAAAAAAATCGATATGTGATGAATTTAATAAATCAGTAAAATTTTTAGGTCTGCATATTGACAATACCCTCCAATGGAAAGATCACGAGGAACTAATTGCAAAAAAAATCAGTAAGGGTATATTTTTATTACGCAATCTATCTTGTAGAGTTCCAGCTGGTACACTACGTACTGCGTATTTTGCATTATGCCACACGCATATTTCGTATGGATTATTGGTTTGGGGTCATTCCTGCATTCGAAATAGAATTTTTAAAATCCAACGTAGAGCGATCAGGGTAATTGCAGGTCTCGGATATAGAGAAGACTGTCGACACCAGTTTGTTAAATTAAGTATTCTAACATTGCCAGCATTATATATTTATGAATGCTTAATATATGTAAAATATAATATTTCAAATTATAATATTAGTTCGGACATACACTCTTACAATACAAGACACAATTCCGACCTATGTCTCAAAAAGATACGTTTGTGTAAATCACAAACTGGTGTCGACTATTATGGAATTAAATTTTTCAATAAATTGCCTAAGAATGTGCAGTGTTTGCCGTTTAAAACTTTTAAAAATATATTAAAGAAATTTTTAATAGAGAAGGCATTTTATAACTTTGAGGAATACCTGTGCAACAAGTATGATTTTAGTTGTTATATTTAGTTTTATTATTTGTATTTTTTACATGTTCATTGTCTGACTTATGCAAAAACTATATGTTACAAGCATCAATAAAATATTCTATTCTATTCTATTCTATTCTTTCGCCCTTTTTCGTCCTTTTTCGTTCTTCTTGGTCCTTTTTCGTCTTTCTTGATCTTTTTTCGTCCTTTTCGTCCTTTTTCGTGCTTTCGGTCCTATTTCGTCCTTTGTCGTCCTTTGTCGTCCTTTGTCGTCCTTTTTAGTCGTTTTCGTCCTTTTTCGTCCTTTTCGTCCTTTTTCGCCCTTTTTCGTCCTTTTGGTCCTTTTTCTTCCTTCTTCGTCCTTTTCGTTCTTTTTCGTCTTTTTCGTCCTTTTTCGTTCTTTTCGGTCCTTTTTCGACCATTTTCGTTCTTGGTCCTTTTTCATTCTTGTCGTCCTTTTCGGCGTTTTTCGTCCTTTTTTGTCCTTTTTGGTCCTTTTTCGTCCTTATCGTTCTTTTTCGTTCTTTTTCGTCCTGTTCGGTCCTCTTTCGAATATTTTCGTCCTTCTTGGTTCTTTTTCGTCCTTTTTGTCTTTTTTCGTCCTTTTCGACCTTTTTCGTCATTTTTCGTCCTTTTTCGTCCTTTTTTGTGCCTTTTGTCCTTTTTCGATCTTTCCTGTCCTTTTTCGTCCTTCATCGTCCTCCTTGGTCTTTTTTCATCCTTCTCGTCCTTTTCGTCCTTTTTCGTCCTTCTTGGTTCTTTTTCGTCCTTTTCATAATTTTTGGTCATTTTCGTCCTTTTTCGACCATTTTCGTCCTTTTCGTCTATTTTCGTCCTTTTTGGTCCTTTTTCGTTCTTTATCATCCTTGTCGTCTTTTGTCGTCCTTCTTGGTCTTTTTTCGTCCTTTTTCGTTCTTATTGGTACTTTTTCGTCCTTTCTCGTCCTTCTTGATCTTTTTTCGTCCTTTTCGTCCTTTTTCGTGCTTTCCGTCCTATTTCGTCCTTTGTCGTCCTTTGTCGTCCTTTTTAGTCGTTTTCGTCCTTTTTCGTCCCTTTCGTCCTTTTTCGTCCTTTTCGTCCTTTTTCGCCCTTTTTCGTCCTTTTGGTCCTTTTTCTTCCTTCTTCGTCCTTTTCGTTCTTTTTCGTCTTTTTCGTCCTTTTTCGTTCTTTTCGGTCCTTTTTCATTCTTGTCGTCCTTTTCGGCGTTTTTCGTCCTTTTTTGTCCTTTTTGGTCCTTTTTCGTCCTTATCGTTCTTTTTCGTTCTTTTTCGTCTTGTTCGGTCCTCTTTCGAATATTTTCGTCCTTCTTGGTTCTTTTTCGTCCTTTTTGTCTTTTTTCGTCCTTTTCGACCTTCTTTGTCATTTTTCGTCCTTTTTCGTCCTTTTTTGTGCCTTTTGTCCTCTTTCGATCTTTCCTGTCCTTTTTCGTCCTTCATCGTCCTCCTTGGTCCTTTTTCATCCTTCTCGTCCTTTTCGTCCTTTTTCGTCCTTCTTGGTTCTTTTCCGTCCTTTTCATAATTTTTGGTCATTTTCGTCCTTTTTCGACCATTTTCGTCCTTCTTTGTCCTTTTTCATTCTTCTCGTCGTTTTCGTCCAATTCGTCCTTTTCCGTCCTTTTTCGTCCTTTTCGTCTATTTTCGTCCTTTTTAGTCCTTTTTCGTTCTTTATCATCCTTGTCGTCTTTTGTCGTCCTTCTTGGTCTTTTTTCGTTCTTCTTGGTCCTTTTTCGTCCGTCTTGGTCCTTTTTCGTCCTTTTCCTCCTTTTTCGTCCTTCTTGGTATTTTTTCGTCCTTTTTCGTCGTTTTCGTCCATTTTCGTCCTTCTTGGTCCTTTTTCGTGCTTTTCGTCCTTTGTCGTCCTGTTTAGTCATTTCCGTCCTTTTTCGTCCTTTTCGTCCTTTTTCGTCCTTTGTCGTCTTTTTTCGTTATTTTCGTCCTTTTTCGTCCTTCTTGGTCCTTTTTCGTCCTTTTCGTACTTTTCCTCCTTTTCGTCCTTTTCCGTCCTTTTTCGTTCTTTTCCTCTTTTTCGTCTTGTTTCGTCCTTTTCGTCCTTTTTCGTCGTTTATGGTCCTTCTTGGTCCTTTTTCGTCCTTGTCGTCCTTTTTCGTCGTTTATGGTCCTTCTTGGTCTTTTTTCGTCCTTTTCGTCCTTCGTCCTTTTCGTCCTTTTGGTCTTTCGTTTTTTTTGGTTTCAAGAAATCAAGACTTTAAAAATCAAATTAATTATCCGAGGATCCAAGGATCCAAAGTTCCAACAATTCAAGACCTGAAGCATCCATGAATCCAGGAAATCAACACGACAAAAATTCAAGAATTCAAGAAATGAACAATCTAAGAGTTCAAGACCTAAAGATTTCAAAGATCAAATAAATAATTTGATAATTCAGGAATTTAAAAATCCAATAAATCAGTTGTTTAAGAATACAGAATGAATAAACAAGAGTGAAAAAGAAGAAAGGAAGAAGATAGAAAGAAGAAAGAAGGAGTAACGGAAGAAAAGTAAGGAGGGAGAAGAAAGAAGAAAAGAGAAAAGATAAAGGGATGAAAGATAAAATCAACACTCCAAAAATTCAAGAATTTAAGAAATGAATATTCCAAGAGTTCAAGAATTCCAGATTTCAATAATCAAAGAATTGCAGTAATTTGGTTTGCGAAATTCGGCACAGACAAATTTATGAGAAAGTTTATCTTCAAATCCACTTACAAACCCTTCCACTGAACATAATCCATAAGCGAAAAGATGCATGTAGTGATAAACGAAGCTGCCAATCTGCCCGAGACGAAGCCGAGGGTTATTGTATTTTTTTTGCAGAACAGTTTTTTTTGGTCTGAATAAATCCTAAAATTCAACTTATTTCATATATTCAGGCGATTCAGGAGAAATAGTGACAGTTTTTCCAGAAATGAGTCCGAAAATAATTTGTTGAAATCGAAATCTATAAAAAAAATTTTTAGCCAATTTTAGAAAAAATAATAGGGTAGGTAATTAGAATCGAGAACAAGTTGCCTATAATTGTGATTTTGAAACAAAACTGTTGCCTTCCCTGACGAAAGCACCACGAGCCGCTACTGGTACAGTAGTGGTTTAAAAATTTTGGCTCCAAAAATCCGCTTAACCTAACCTCAAAATAAAAAAATAAATAAATTTCACCGAGTCGGCGCCGTTTTAGCAATAAATTTTATTACAATTCAATTGATACATTTGTAATTATTGCAGGTAAAGTAAAAACTGTCGAAAAGTCCATGTTGTGGCTAAACTAATGATTATAACGTTGCCAATGCGAAAGACCACCCTGACAACAAATGAACACTTTATTCAGAAATTCACTAATGAAACCAATTGCAAGCGACTATTTACATACGATAGGCACTAGTATATCTTGAAGTAGTTAACCAAAACTGAACAAAAAACATTTAGGCCAACCAACAATCAAAGAAAGTATACAGTCAACAATCTGTTTTTTTTCGCTCCATTAAATGCATTTTTCACACAACAATCATACAAATTTACACAAAACTATACATCCTCCTTAATTTTACGTTATTTATGCTTTAACTGTACATTAGAAACTTAAATTTACCTAAAAACCAACACATCTCGACTACTCAACATTTTAATAAGTAAGTACGTTTTTAAAAAATAAATAAATTTTGATTCTTTTTAGTGAAATTCTTTAAACTTTAGCTTTCAACTTATCTAAATCACATGATTACACGTCTAAACCGGTTCATTCCCCGTTGACCTCATCGTAGTGCGCGAACTTCAAAAACACCTGTTCCAACGTGGTTTGGCTGAAGCTGTACTCCTCGATGTCCAACTCCGTTTTAGCTGAAACAGTGACTCGTGTATTTGGATTGGTGTCACCCGAAAATTACCTTTCTCCAGCTGCATGAAACAGTTAGCTAAAGAAGGAACACTTTGTTGTGGAACACTGAAGACGAGCCTGTCGGCGAAGCTCTCCTGCAGGGTGGCGTCGTGGAACAGCCCACTGACGAACTCCCGGAGTTCGCTGGGTCGATCGCCCGAAGTAGACGTAGGCGTTCGGTCGCCACCTCGCAACTTCATCTCCAGAGTGTACCCTGCTCCGTAGAGGTTCTTCAGGTGCTGGGTGGACCCCAGACACCTCAGTTCGCCCTTGACCATGATCCCGACGCGCGAACACAGCGCGTCGGCCTCCTCCATGGAGTGCGTGGTCAAGATAGCCCCTCTGGAACCCTGAAAACTGGCCAGGATGGTGTCCCACAGGAACCGCTTGCTGCGAGGGTCCATCCCGGTGCTGGGTTCGTCCAACAGGACCACCTTCGGGTTGCCGACCATCGCCATGGCGAACGAGAGCTTGCGCCGGGTTCCCCCGGAGCACTGCTGGGCTTGCTTATCCGCGTGCTCGTGGATCTGCAGCCCCGACAGGTACAAGTTGACGATCTTCGGGATATCCCCGAACGGGACTCCTACAACACAATTTTAGACCGCATAGACCCCGATTTGGCGGATTTTACCTCGGATGGCGGCGTAGCACTCCAGGTGCTCCCGCACGGTGATGTTCTTCCAGAGGGCGTCGTGCTGGGGGCAGTACCCCAGGAGCTGGAAGGCGTCGTTCATGTTCGAGGTGATGTTTTCGCCGCCGATTTGGACGCGGCCTCTGGTGGGGGCCTCCTCGGCCGTGATTATCTTCATGGTGGTGGTTTTGCCGGCGCCGTTGTGGCCCAGGAGGCCGAAGACCTCGCCGGCGTCCACGGCTAAGGAGAGGCTCTTCACGGCGATTTTCGAGGTGATGGGTTCTTCGTCGTGCTTGCAGCAGCACTCGCACTTGATCTCGCTCTTGGTGTACTCTTTGTGGAGGTTCTGGACCATGACCACGGGCGGGTTCACCACGTAGCAGTCCATCAGGTTCTTCACCTTCTGGCGCTCGCCTTTCACGTCTTGGTCCTCGTTCTCGCCGATGTCGCTTAGTTCGTTGATGTCTTCGGTGGCTTCGTCCACGTCGCGTTTCTGCAAAAAAATAACGTCGAGTTTTTTTTTCTCAATTTTTTATTTTTTGTTTAGTCAGTTTTTCAAGTTCTCGATTTATATTTTTCATTTTCACGCTGCCTATTCAGTTTTTCAAAATTTTAATCTTTTGACTTTTCAGTTTTTAGATTTTTCAAAATACATATACTTTTACGTATTTTCATTTCTGAATTTTCAATTTTAGAATTTTGCGATTTTAAAATTTTTTTTGTTCAAAAAGTGAAAGATTTTAAAAATCATAATTATATTTTGTACTATTGCGCAATAAATTCTATCTAAATCTAATTATTATTACATATTTGAAATGAAAACTAGAAAAATTGCAAATCCAAAAATTGAAAACCGAAAATTGAAAAATCCAAAATTTCAAAAATTTCGCATTGAACATAAGAATTATAAAATCGGAAGTTGTAACCCGAAAATTTGTAGATATCAAAAATTAACGTATCGAAAAACTGAAAAATTTTAAAAAATTAAAAATTTAAAAATCCAGTAATTGAAAAATGGAAAAATTCTAAAATCAAGAAATGCAAATTCTAAAAATTTAAACATCTGTAAGTTGGAAAATCAAAAAATGAAAAATTTAAAAATGAAAAACTCGAGAATGCATATGGTAGATTTGGGGAAACAAAAAAAAATGAAAAATTGAAAAATCAAAGAATCGAAATTTTGAAACAATTTTAATTGAAAAAAAAAATATATAAAAAAATTGAAACGAAAAATTGCAATTCAAATATTTGAAGAAATGAAAAATTGAAGAATCGAAAAATTAAAAATTAAAAATTGAAAATTGAAGAAACAAAAAAGTTGAAAAATCGCGATTGGATAAATTGAAGAAAGAAAAAACTGACCAAATGAAAAATTTTAATATCATTACTACATATCGAAAATGAGGACTAGAAAAATTTGAAACTAAAAATTGAAAAATCCAAAAACTCAAAAATTTCGAATTAAAAAAAGAAAAATTATAAGAGCGAAACATTAAAAAAATAAAAACCGAAACGAAAAATTGTAAATCGAAAATTTGAAGAAATGAAAAATAAAAAACCGAAACACTGAAAATCGAATAATTAAAAAAATCAAGAAAATAACGAAAAAGACAAATTAAAAATTGGAAAACTGTAAATCGAAATTTGAAAGATCCAAAAACTGAAAAATTTCTAATTAAAAAAATTTAAAATCAGAAGAATGAAAAAACGAAAAACTGAAAAAAATTAAAACCCGAAACGAAAAATTGCAAATGGAAAACTTGAAGAAATGAAAAATAAAAAATCAAAAATACAAGTACTTATAAAATTGGAACACTGAAAATCGAATAAGTGAACAAATCAAAAAAATAAAAATCGCAACAAAAAAATTGAAAATTAAAAATTGAAAACCCGAGAAACTCAAATCGAAAAATTGCAAAATCTAAAAATTGAAAATTAGAAGTTGGAAAAGTAAAAAACTTGAAACTCGAAAACTGAAAATTTCAAACTAAAAGTTGAAGAAACTAAAAACTGAAAAATCATGAAAATGAAAAATCTTAAGTAGAAAAAACCAAAAATTAAAAAATCCGAAAGTTGAAAAATAGAAAAATGGAAGAGGAAAAGCTGCAAATCGAAAAACTGAAAAATTTCGAATTAAAAAAAATTATTATAAAATCAAAACACTGAAAAACCCAAAAAATTGAAAAAATAAAAAATCAAAACGAAAAGTTGCAATCGAAAATTTGAAGAAATGAAAAAGAAAAAGTCTAAAAATTGAAAAACTGAAAATTGGAAATACAAAACAATGATAAAATTGAAACAGTGAAAATCGAATAACTGAAAAAATCAAGAAAATAAAACCAGAAAGGAAAACTTGAAAAATTAAAAATTGAAAGCTCGAGAAATTCAAATCGAAAAATTGCAAAATATAAAAATTGAAAAATTTAGTTGGAAAAGTGAAAAACTAAAAATTCAAACTCGGAGATTCGAAAATTTGCAAATCGGAAAATTTTAAAAATCCAAAAACTGAAAAATTTCGAATCAGAAAAATTGAAAAATTTAGACGTTGGAAAAGTGAAAAACTAAAAATTTAAACTTGGGTACTCGAAAATTTGCAAATCGAAAAATTTTAACAAACCAAAAACTGAAAAATTTCGAATAAAAAAAAAGTGTATATAATCAGAACACTGAAAAACCGAAAAATTGAAAAACTAAAAAAAAATAAAAAACAAACGAAAAATTGCAAATCGAAAATTTGGAAAAGTGCAAAATAAAAAATCGAAAAATTGAAAAATAAAAAATAAAAAAAAAATTAAATCTGAAAGTTGAAAAATCGAAAAATGGAAAACCGAAAATCTGCAAATCGAAAAATTTGAAAAATCCAAAAACCGAAAAATTTCGAATTAAAAAAGAATAATTATAAAATCAGAACATAATTTCATTCATTCAATAATAATAAACAAAAAGCCAAACGAAAAATTGCAGATCGAAAATTTGAACAAATGAAAAATAAAAAATCGAAAAATTGAATAAAAAAATTTCACATTGAAACACTGAAATTCGAATAATTGAAAAAATCAAGGAAGTAAAAACCGAAACAAAAACTAGAAAAATTAAAATTTGAAAACTCGAGAAAATCGAAAAACTGCAAAATCTAAAAACTGAAAAATTTGCAAGTTGGATAAGTGAAAAACTAAAAATTTAAACTTGAGAACTCGAAAAATTGTAAATCAAAAAACTGAAGAACCGAAATATTTCAAACTAAAAATTGAAAAATTCAAAAACTACAAATCGAAAAAATGAAAATTCCTAAGACTGACTGAAATTAAAAAAAAATTAAACAGTGAAAAACCGAAAAAGTGAAAAAATAGGAAATAAAGTATCGAATTGAAAAATAAAAAATCGAAAAATTGAAAATACAAAAGTATATAAAATTGAATAACTGAAAAAACTGAAACAAAAAATTGAAAAAAAAAATTGAAAACTCGATAAACTCATTTGAAAATTTGCAAAACCAAAAAATTGGAAAATTAACTAAAAATTTAAACCTGAAAACTCGAAAAATCGCAAAATCGAAAAACTGAGGAACTGAAAAATTTCAGACGAAAAATTGAAGAAAGAAATTAAAAATTGAAAAATCATGAAACGGAAAAATCTAAAATACAAAAAACCAACAATTAAAAAATCTGAAAGTTGAAAAATCGAAAAATTGAAAAATCAAAAAACTGAAAAATTTCGAATTAAAAAAAAAATAAAATCAGAACAGTAAAAAATCGAAAAATTGAAAAAATAAAAAAACAGAAAACTGACACAAAAAAGTGCAAATCGAAAATTTGAAGAAATGCGAAATAAAAAATTAAAAAATTGGAAATGCAAAAAAATATAAAATTGAAACACGGAAAACCGAATAATTGAAAAAATCAAGAAAATAAAAGCCGAAAGGGAAAATTGAAAAATTAAAATTTAAGTTTGAAAACTCAAAAAATTGCAAATCGAAAAACTGAAGAACTGAAAAATTTAAAACTAAGAATTTAAAAATCTTGAAACTGAAAAATCTAAAATAGAAAAAACGAAAAAGCGAAAAAACCGAAAGTTGAAAAGTCAAAAAATGCAAATCCGAAAAACTGCAAATCGAAAAAAATTTTGAAGTTGGAAAAGTGAAAAACTAAAAATGAAAATTCATGAAATTGAAAAATTTAAAATAGAGAAAACGAAAAACTAAAAAACCGGAAAATTTAAAAAATCAAAAATCAAAACGAAAAATTGCAAATCGAAAATTTGAAGAAATAAAAAAGAAAAAATCAAAAAATTGAAAAACTGAAAATCGAATAATTGAAAAAATCAAGAAAATAAAAACCGTAACGAAAACTTGAAAAATTAAAAATTGAAATATTTAGAAGTTGGAAAAGTGAAAAACTAAAAATTTAAACTTGGAACCTCGAAAATTTGCAAATCGAAAAATTTGAAAAATCCAAAAACCGAAAAATTTCAAATTAAAAAAATATATATAAAATTAGAACATTGAAAAACCGAAGAATTGAAAAATAAAAAAATAATAAAACACCGAAACAAAAATTGCAAATCGAAAATTTGAAAAAGTGCAAAATAAAAATCGAAAAATTGAAAAATTAAAAATACAAAAAATATATAAAATTGAAACTCTGAAAATCCAATAATAATTTAAAAAATCAAGTAAGTAAAAACCGAAACAAAAAATAGAAAAATTAAAAATTGAAAAATTTGCAAGTTGGAAAAATGGAAAAAAAAATTGGAAAATCAAAAAAGTGTAAATCGAAAAATTGAAGTGAACTGAAATATTTCAAACTAAAAATCGAAAAATCATTAAACTAAAACATCTAACATAGAGAAACCAAAAAATTAAAAAATCTGAAATTTGGAAAATCAAAAAATGGAAAATTGAAAAACTGAAAAATCCAAAGACTGAAAAATTCCAACTTAAAAAAATATATAAAATCAGAACAGTGAAAAACCGAAAAATTAAAAAAATAAAAGATAAAGTATCGAAACGAAAAATTTGAAGAATTGAAAAATAAAAAATCCAAAAATTGAAAAATTAAAAATACAAAAAATTATAAAATTGAAACACTGAAAATCGAATAACTGAAAATATCAAGAAAATAAAAACCGAAACGAAAAATCAAAAATTGAAAACTCGAGAAACTCAATTGAAAATTTGCAAAACCGAAAAATTTAGAAGTTGGAAAAGTAAAAATTTAAACCTGAAAACTCGAAAAATTACAAAGCGAAAAACTGAGGAGCTGAAAAATTTCAAACTAAAAATTGAAGAAGGAAACTAAAAATTGAAAAATCATGAAACGGAAAAATCTAAAATACAAATAACGAACAATTAAAAAATCTGAAAGTTGAAAACTTGGAAAATGAAAAACCGAAAAACAGCAAACCGAAAAATTGAAAAATCCAAAAACTGAAAAATTTCGAATTAAAAAAAAACAAAATCGGAACACAGAAAAACCGAAGAATTGAAAAAATAAAAAATAGAAAACCGAAACAAAAAAGTGGAAATCGAAAATACAAAAAATATAAAATTGAAACACTGAAAATCGAATAATTGAAAAAATCAAGAAAATAAAAACCAAAACAGAAAATTGAAAAATTAAAAATTTAAGTTTGAAAACTCGAAAAATTGCAAAACGAAAAACTGAAGAACTGAAAAATTTAAGACTAAAAATTGAAAAATCGTGAAACTGAAAAATCCAAAGCGAAAAAACCGAAAGTTGAAAAGTCAAAAAATGTAAATCCGAAAAAATTGAAAAATATGAAAAATCCAAAAACTAAAAGAATTTTGAGTTAAAAAGGAAAATTATAACATCACAACACTAAAAAACTGAGAAATCGAAAAAATATAAATCGAAACAATAATTGTAAATCTAAAATTTGAAGAAATGAAAAATAAAAAATCGGAAAATTGAAAATACAAAGAAATTATAAAACTGAAATACTGAAAATCGATAATTGAAAAAATCAAAAAAATAAAAACTGCAACGAAAAATTGAAAAATTATAAATGAGAGGAAAATTTGAATTTGGAAAAGTGAAAAACTAATAATTTAAACTTGAAAATTCGTAAAATTGAAGAAATGAAAAATTTCAAACTAAAAATTGAAAAATCATGAAACTGAAACATCTAACATAGAGAAACCAAAAAATTAAAAAATCTGAAATTTGGAAAATCAAAAAATGGAAAATTGAAAAACTGAAAAATCCAAAGACTGAAAAATTCCAACTTAAAAAAATATATAAAATCAGAACAGTGAAAACCCGAAAAATTAAAAAAATAAAAGATAAAGTATCGAAACGAAAAATTTGAAGAATTGAAAAATAAAAATCCAAAAATTGAAAAATTAAAAATACAAAAAATTATAAAATTGAAACACTGAAAATCGAATAACTGAAAAAATCAAGAAAATAAAAACCGAAACGAAAATCAAAAATAGACTACGAATTGAAAAATTGGAAAATCCAAAAACTGAAAAATTTCGAATTAAAAAAGAAATTATAAAATCAAAACAGTGAAAAACCGAAAAACTGAAAAAAATAAAAAACCGAAACGAAAAATTGAAAATCGAACATTTGAAGAAATGAAAAATAAAAAATCGAAAATTTGAAAAATTGAAAATTGAAAATCCGAGAAACTCAAATCGAAAAACTGCAAAACCTAAAAATTGAAAAATTTAGAAGTTGGAAAAATTTCAAACTAAAAACTTAAACTTGAAAACTCGAAAATTGCAAATCGAAAAATTGAAGAACTAAAACATTTCAAACTAAAAATTGAAAATTAAAAACTGAAAAATCTAAAATAGAAAAAACGAAAAATTAAAAACCTGAAAGTTGAAAAATCAAAAAATTTGAAAAATCCAAAAACTGAAAAATTTCGAATTAAAAAAAAAAATTAAATCAGAACACTGAAAAACCGAAAAACTGAAAACAAAGAAAATGAAAAATTGAAGAATTGAGAATTTTACCCCACTGGTTTTTACTTTATAGAAATTATCAGAAACCAATTCGCAAAATTTGTTTTTAATTTTTCAAAAAAATGAAAAAACAGTATTTTTTAGGTTGCACTTGAGTAGCGAGGGAAGTTCTGTTGCAATAACCTCGACAAACTCATATCGTATTTTGATCCTTGGAAAAGGATTAGTCCATGGGATATATTCGTGCAAGGAATCGAGGGGTGGGTGGGCGGGCAGCTGTTACTTACCATTAACTTGAAGGCGTCTCGAACCCTTCCTCCACTCTTGCGTATATCCAGTATCAGCAGCATGAAGAACCAAAACGGGATGTTGACGACGATCCCGACCAGCATGACCACGATCTCATCAGTCATATAGTCCATCAGTGTGAGAGTATTGCACGTGGAGTTGACTTTACACATCATATAAACCCTCTGTATATAGTAGATGATAGCGTACGGTATATACATCGCATTCAGAATGGAAAAAAGTATATGCAGAACCAACGCCGCTTTCCCTCCAATCCGCAGCATATCCAACATACTCACAAGAAAAAACGGGATGCAGCCGAGGAACGTAGCGATATTGGGTAAAATAGACTGGGCGGAGTCGGTCTTGTCGAAAATGTAACTAACACAGGTACTAAAAAGAATGGACGAAGGGCAGTAGAGGAACGTGAGTGTCCCAAGCGTGACCAAAGCCGGCCACCCTTTGAACGCCGGGATATCGAACAACAGGATAATCAGGATCAAAGCGGCGCAAATTAGGACCATGAGGGCCGCTAGCACGACGAAGTAGGTGATGAAGTACATGCAGAAGGACAACCCGTTGACGCGCAGCTGGTTCTTGGCTTTGATTTCCCGGTCGTAGACCATATCGATGGCGAGACTCACGGGGACTAGGACGAAGATCATCCCCATGAAGGTGCTAGCGGAGAAGACTCCTAGGTTGAACTCTTCGGGCTGCGAGGTTTGTTGGAATGGTAACGAAATGACCTCGATGGGTTCCCATTGACCTTTTAAGATTCGCTCTGGACTCATCAATCGATAGAGACCGTTACTGATAAGGTTGATGATAATGGGTAGACTATGCTGGGCTGTGTCGTTATAGATAACCGTCACGCTACTGCCATAATTCTCGTTACTGAACACGTTGACGTTTAAAGCCGCCATGTGGGGCGACATGTCCAACAAGAGGGAGAAGTTTCCGTCGTATGGGTCTATCCTTTTCACACCCACTTGTCTCAGTTGGTCGTACAAGTCGTCTAAGTTTTCGTCGGACCCATTGTGGATGGCGAATGTCGTTTGATCCCCATACGTGGTACCATTTAAGCCCAATGGGGTCAACTTAACCTCAATTGTTTGCATGCTGTTCAAATAGAGCACGGTGGCTGCCAACCCTAGTGGTAGCACGATCATGAAATAGAGCTTCTGGAGGTCGCGGATCAACCGCAACACTCTTAGTCTTAGTAGGGCTACCAGTGTCTGAAAAACATTGGGGTGACACTCGATTTTTTCCAGCCCGATTCCAGTGATCGGGGATTTGGTTTCGCTGATGATTTCGAGACCTCCGATTTGAGTGGCATCGCCGCCCCCTTTGCCATCCTGCGCCGCCGCATTGTTGCCTTCGTTTTGCAACGACTGGTAACTAGTACTCTTGCTTTGGAGGCTCAAACTGCGACTGAGAGCCCGATTTCGTACCATCTTCTTCGACAGGTTGTCCATGGTACCTTCGGTTTCTTCGTCGCGCTCCAGGTGCAGGAACACCTCTTCGAGGGTAGTCATCGACACTCCGTAGCTCGAAATCCCCAACTTGCTCGACTTGTTGTTGATTTCTTGCTCAATAGCGGAGAACAAAGAGGCGAAGTTGTCGACCGCGTTATGAGGGAGGATGAAACTGAGCTCGCGACCATGGCGACGAGCCTTTTCGGCTTTAGGGACGTGCGAGGTCACCAGACGCGTGATGGCATGCTCCCGACAAATCCCGTCAAGCACTAGGGTCAAGTGGTACCCAATCCCGAATTTGTTCTTAAGGAAAAGGGAGCTGCCGCAGCAGCGGATGCTCCCTCGGGACACCACAGCCTTGCGATCAGCTACACAAAACAAACTCGGGTTAGCTTTGTCACCTTCAGGACGTCCAAACCCACCTAGAATATCCGCCTCGTCCATGAAATGCGTCGTCAATAAAATTACCTTCCCGTGACGTCGGTTCTGGAGCACCGACCACATGTGGCGTCTCGAATAGGGATCAACACCTGCTGTGGGTTCGTCTAGAATGATGATCTTGGGGTCCCCGATCACGGCTATCCCGATTGAGAGCTTGCGCTTTTGTCCACCACTCAAGTGTTTAGCAGACGCGTTAGCCTTCTCAGTCAGGTCAATGTCCCTCAACGTCTTCATAACCTCGAATTCGCGCAGGTTTGCCGGAATTCCCTGAAAAACACCTTCACAGGACTTTAATCCAACTAACGCGACTTACCTTGACCGCGGCGAAGAACTCTAGGTGCTCCTTGGGGGTCAAATTGTCAAACAAAATGTCATGTTGTGGACAAACCCCGGTCATTCTTCTGATTTCGTCCATGTCGTTAGGGTCTCTGACGTCGTACCCGAAAATGTACGCTGTACCCGACGTGGGGGCTGTCAGCCCCGTCAAAATGTTAAACAGCGTGGTTTTACCAGCCCCATTGTGCCCCAAAATCGCCGTAATCTGTCCTTCGTATATCGTCAAGTTGATTCCATTGATGGCTTTGATTTCGGGCTTGCGACAATGCTGTAATAACACTTCCATGACTAAAAACTCTTCCAAATGAGTAAATACTTACGTGAAAACTCTTAAACATGTCGACGATTCGGATGGCCTCTCGCCCTTTCATTTCCCTCGAGACGGGTTCCACGTCGCCGTTGTTGTCTTCGCCGGTGGTTAAAGACCCAACTGAGCCCCCATTCGCTAGCGGTATCTATAACCAACGCTTAGAGTGTGACTAAACGCAGTTGGGGCTTACCCTCTGGACTGGCTTCTTCGAGCACCAGAACGAAGGTTTGAAGCAGAAAAAGGGCGATCTTTTGATGCCGTGTTCACTTGGTATGACGCAGTCGAGGTAGTAGGCCAGGAGTCCGTAGATGACTAAGTCGAGGGCCATCATGATCAGGCTGCCGCCGAATGGCATTCCGGGGCCGGACCATAAGTTGTCGAAGTTGACTCCTTCGCCCTTTAGTTCCATGACTAAAGCCTGTATGGTGTGTTATTATTGGTGGTTTGCTGGAGGCAATAACTTACTTTGTCCATGGCTAGGGCGAACCCCGACGAGCTTATCAGAGACACGATCCAGAAGGCCACCGAGCTGGATCCGTCCACGAACACTTGGATGAAGTAGAAGAGGCTCATGATGTTGACGGCGAAGTTGCCCAAGATCCCGGCGGTCTAAACAAAAATGTGGGAGGTGTAGAGGGGTTACTGAGAAGCGGGGTTGGGGGTGTGTCAATTCAGGCTTATTTTGTGATTGACCACCCAGAAGGTTTGGCATCTTTAAAAAAGAGTCAGTTGGGACCCCCGAGAAGGTTTAATTAACATTTAAAAAAAAAGTCAGTTGGGACCCCCGAGAAGGCTTAATTAACATTTTTAAAAAAGTCAGTTGGGACCCCCGAGAAGGTTTAATTAACATTGTTAAAAAAAGTCAGTTGGGACCCCCGAGAAGGTTTAATTAACATTTTTAAAAAAGTCAGTTGGGACCCCCGAGAAGGTTTAATTAACGTAACAAGGACTGAAAAATCTAAAATAGAAAAAACCAAAAATTAAAAAATTGAAAGTTAAAAATCGAAAAATGGAAAACCGAAAGACTCCAAATCGAAGAACTGAAAAATCCAAAAACTGAAAAATTTCGAATTAAGAAAAAATATATCAAATCAGAACACCGAAAAATCGAAAAATAAAAAAAAATATAAAACCAAAATCAAAAATTTGAAGAAATGAAAAATAAAATCGAATAATTAAAAAATCAAGAAAAAACACAAAATAAAAAAAATATATAAAATCAAAACACTGAAAAACCGAAAAATTGAAAAAAATAAAAAACTTAAAATTAGAATAAAAAATGGAAAAATTGATAAATTGAAAACGAAAAAATCAAGAAAATAAAGACTGAAAAGAAAAATCGAAAAATTAAAAATTCCAACTCGAGAAACTCAAATTGAAAAATTGCAAAATTTCAAAATTGAAAAATTTAGAAGTTGGAAAAGTGAAAAACTAAAAATTGAAACGTGAAAATTCGAAAAATTGCAAATGGAATCAGGAAAATAAAACCTGAAACGAAAAATTGAAAAATTAAAAGTTGAAAGTCGAGAAACTCAACTGAAAATTTGCAAAATCGAAAGTATGGAAAATTTAGAAGTGAAAAACTCAAAATTTAAACCTGAAAACACAAAAAATTATTGTAAATCGTAAAATGAAGAATTGAAAAATCTAAAATAAAAAAAACGAAAAATTAAAAAATCTAAAAGTTGAAAAATTGAAAAATGGAAAATCGAAAAACTGCAAATCGAAAAATTTGAAACATCCAAAGACTGAAAAATTTAAAATTAAAAAAATGTATATATAAAATCAACACTGACAAAAGAATAATTAAAAAACAGTAAAAATCCGAAACATTAAAAAAAAAGACATATGGCGCCCCCGATAATGTTTTACATTTTTAAAAAAAGTCAATTGGGACCCTCGAGGTTTAAAATTCTTAAAAAAGTCAGTTGGGGCGTCCGAGAAGGTTTAATTAACATTGTTAAAAAAAGTCAGTTGGGACCCTCGAGAAGGTTTAATTAACATTGTTAAAAAAGAGTCAGTTGGGATCCCTGAGAAGGTTTAATTAACATTTTTAAAAAAAGTCAGTTGGGACCCTCGAGAAGGTTTAATTAACATTGTTAAAAAAGAGTCAGTTGGGACCCCCGAGAAGGTTTAATTAACATTGTTTAAAAAAGTCAATTGGGATCCCCGAGAAGGTTTAATTAAGATTGTTAAAAAAAGTCAGTTGGGACCCCTGAGAAGGTTTAATTAACATTGTTAAAAAAAGTCAATTGGGACCCATGAGAAGGTTTAATTAACATTTTTAAAAAAAGTCAGTTGGGACCCCCGAGAAGGTTTAATTAACATTGTTAAAAAAGAGTCAGTTGGGATCCCTGAGAAGGTTTAATTAACATTGTTAAAAAAAGTCAGTCGGGACCCTCGAGAAGGTTTAATATTCTTAAAAAAAGACAGTTGGGACGCCTGAGAAGGTTTAAAATTCTTAAAAAAAATCAGTTGCCCCCCCGAAAGGGTTTAATTAACATTGTTAAAAAAAGTCAGATGGGACCCCCGAGAAGGTTTAATTAACATTTTTAAAAAAGTCAGTTAGGACCCCATAGAAGATTCAATTAACATTGTTAAAAAAAAGTCAGTTGGGACCCCCGCGAAGGTTTAATTAACATTTTTAAAAAAGAGTCAGTTGGGATCCCTGAGAAGATTTAATTAACATTTTTAAAAAAAGGCAGTTGGGACCCCTGAGAAGGTTTAATTAACACTGTTAAAAAAGTCAGTTGGGACCTCCGAGAAAGTTTAATTAACATTTTTAAAAAAGTCAGTTGGGACCCCCTAGAAGGTTAAATTAACATTGTTAAAAAAAGTCAGTTGGGACCTCCGCGAAGGTTTAATTAACATTTTCAAAAAAAGTCAGTTGCGACCCTGGATAAGGTTTATTATTCTTAAAAAAAGTCAGTTGGGACCCCCGAGAAAGTTTAATTAACATTTTTAATAAAAGTCAGTTGGGACCCTCGAGAAGGTTTAATATTCATAAAAAAAGTCAGTTGGGACCCCCGACAAGGTTTAATTAACATTGTTAAAAAAAGTCAGTTGGGACCCCTGAGAAGGTTTAATTAACATTTAAAAAAAAAGTCAATTGGGACCCTCGAGAAGGTTTAATATTCTTAAAAAAAGACAGTTGGGACGCCTGAGAAGGTTCACAATTCTTAAAAAAAATCAGTTGCCCCCCCGAAAGGGTTAATTAACATTGTTAAAAAAAGTCAGATGGGATCCTGGAGAAGGTGTAATATTCTTAAAAAAAGTCAGTTAGGACCCCTAGAAGATTTAATTAACATTTTTAAAAAAGAGTCAGTTGGGATCCCTGAGAAGGTTTAATTAACATTTTTAAAAAAAGTCAGTTGGGACCCCCGAGAAGGTTTAATTAACACTGTTAAAAAAGTCAGTAGGGACCCCCGAGAAAGTTTAATTAAATTTTTTAAAAAACTCAGTTGGGACCCTCGAGAAGGTTTAATTAACATTTTTAAAAAAAGTCAGTTGGGACCCTCGAGAAGGTTTAATATTCTTAAAAAAAAGACAGTTGGGACCCCTGAGTAGGTTTAATTAACATTGTTAAAAAAGAGTCAGTTGGGACCCCTGAGAAGGTTTAACTAACATTTAAAAAAAAAAGTCAATTGGGACTCCCTAGAAGGTTTAATTAACATTGTTAAAAAAAGTCAGTTGGGACTCCGACAAGGTTTCACGTTCTTAAAAAAACACATTTGGCGCCCCCGAGGTTTTACATTTTAAAAAAAGTCAGTAGGGACCGCGAAGAAGGTTTAACATTCTTAAAAAAAGACAGTTGGGAACTCCGAGGTTTTAACATTCTTAAAAAAAGTCAGTTGGGACCCCTGAGAAGGTTTCACGTTCTTAAAAAAACACATTTGGCGCCCCCGAGAAGGTTTTACATGCTTAAAAAGACAGTTTGGACCCCCGAGAAGGTTTAACATTGTTAAAGAAAGTCAGTTGGGACCCCCGAGAAGGTTTCACGTTCTTAAAAAAGACATTTGGCGCCCCTGGGAAGGTTTTACATTTTTAAAAAAGACAGTTGGGACCCCCGAGAAGGTTTCACATTCAAAAAAAGACATTTGGAGCCCCCGGGAAGATTTTACATTCTTAAAATAAGTGAGTTTGTACCCCAAGAAGGTTTCACATTAAAAAAAAAGACATTTGGAGCTCTTGAGAAGGTTTCGCATTCTTAAAAAAGACATTTGGCGCCCCAGAGAAGGTTTTACATTCTTAAAAGTAACAAAAAACCAAAGATTATGCATTTTCTGTAGCCGCCCCGATCTCAATTGTGATGAATTTTTCATTCGTTATCAGAGTGAGGGGAGGAGCTTAATAGCAAAACCGATATTTCTCTACAAAAGTTCACAATTTTAAACATGTTTTAAGTATTTTGTAATAAAAAGAAAAACCCATATTAAGAAAAAAAAATGCAAAATATAAGCCCCGCCCACCCACCCTATCTCAAATGTGACGGTTTTCTTAAATCATCGTGAGCCTGGAGGGTGGAGCTTAATTGCAAGATCCAATTCAATTGTGATGAATTTTTGGTTGGTTATCTGAGTGAGGGGAGGAGCTTAAATTCAAAACCGATGTTTCTCTACAAAAATTTACCATTTTAAACACGTTTTAAGTATTTTGTACTGAAAAGAAGAACGCATATTAAGAAAAACAGAGGCAAAATGTAAGCCCCGCCCACCCGCCCTATCTCAAATGTGATATTTTGTTTTTAAATAGTCGTGAGTCGGGGGTGGAGCTTAACTGAAAAATCCTTATTTTTCTACAAGAAATTAGCATCTGAACCATGTTTTTAAATAATCGTGTTGTGTAAAGTAAAAAAGAAAGCCAAAGACTTTAAGCCTCACCTATACCCGCCCCCATTTCAACTGTGATGAATTTTTCAGTCGTTATTAGAGTGGGGGGAGGAGCTTAATTTTTTTTAATTGAAAAGAAGAAAGTATATTAAGAAATAAAAGGCAAAAATAGAAGCCCCACCCACCCACCCTATCTCAATTGTGATGATTTTTTTTAATCGTCGTGAGGCAGGAGGGAGGAGCTTAACTGCAAAATCCTTATTTTTCTACAAGAAATCACCATATGAAACATGTTCTTAAGTAATCATGTTGTTCAAAGAAAACTATCGGTATTAAGTAGAAAAGAAAGCCAAATATTAAGCTCCACCTTTATATCCACCCCGATTTCAATTGTGATGAATTTTTCATTCGTTATCAGACTGGAGGGAGGAGCTTAATTTCAAAATCGATATTTCTCTACCAAAATTTATCATTTTAAAGATGTTATATATAAATAGTCAGTCAAAATTTCTGAAGTCGTTTACGTTGTCTACGTCGTACGCCCAACCCTGCTGCAAAGCCAACTTACCCTGGACTTGTCGAAGAACGGCGTTATCATGAACCCGAACATGATGATCGAGAGAGAGTACAGCAAGACTAGTAGGAAAATGAGTAGGAAATTGGTGTTTTGAAACACTTGCAGCGTGAAGAGGAGGACGCAACACACTATGGACAGGAAGAGTACGAAGACCCCGTAAATGATGAACCAAGAGAGCCAAAACACCGAGTCTTTAAGTCCCATGATCTTCATTCCCTCTTTGATCCGGTTCTCCTTCTCGCCGACGATGAGAATGAGTAGGTAGGTGATGAACTGCGACAACGCCATCACCATGTACAGCGGGATGATGATGCGGAAGGCCACCATCCAGTCGCCCGTGTGGGCCTTCTTCGGGAACATCTCCAGCGTGATTTTGGGCACGTTGAGGTCCCGTCCTGTGTCGATCTGCAACAACCGTACAAAATACTGTCCCTGGACCCACAACCTGATCAGTACTCTTATTTTCGTGTAGTCCAGGAGGGCCTGCAAGGCCACGAATCCCGAGTAGTAGTATTGATTGACGGGACAGCTTTTCCCGGTTTCTATGGGGAAAACGTTGGCACCTGACCAGAACTCCGACGACTCCCTGCAGGACGCCGGCGAGCTGTACAGGACGGTGGTCGACGGAGTCTCGAACTTGGAGGGGTTCGACCGGATCTTGTACCTGAGGGAGCCGCTGATGGGCCGCGGGTCCTCGAACAGAACGGCTATGGGGATGTCGTCCGGCTCGGACCAGTAGGCGGTGAGGAGGTCCTCGTTCGTGGGAAAGATCAACCAGTTGATGGGGTGCAAACCGGGGTTGTTGTGGTGCATGGTCTGCCAGAGGTCGTTGACACGTTTCAAGAAGTCCTACGAGGGTGGGTTTAGTAAGGGTGGACTCACGATTAGGACTTACTTGGGTTTCGTTATTGTTCGGCACTACGGCTACGGTGTGGTTCTTCAGCTGCTGGAAATAGGCGAAGAGGTCGGCTTCGCCGCGCGGAGTGTCCATAACCGGGAAATTCGGGTTCGGGATTATTACCTTGAGGGCGATCAGCACCCCGAGCGAGTAGAGGGGGAGCAGGACCTCCTGGAGCACAAAACAAAATAATTGATTTGTAGTAGCCACCTTCGAACCCAATTTTTTTTTAATTTAAAATTAAGGTCACGTAGTCATCCACCACAACAAACAAACCCCACCAGAACTACCAACCCAACCACCTTTCACTCCAAAGCAACCCATTACCGCCGTGGTTTTCCTCTTCTCCCTCTTCTTGAGCAGGATGTTCCTCTTCAGCATCGCCTTCAGCTGCGCCCAGTAAATCGAGACGTGGCTCTCCCCCATGCCGACGTGTCGTCCGCTTCGCGCTCGCCCTCACTTTATTCCATCCGCTCGCCTGCAAATCAAACACGAACGTCTTTGTGGTGAGGCGCCATTTCACCGGGAATCACTGCCCTACGTCAAAACTTCCACATTGCGACCCCTACGCCGCCGCCATTTTCCCGTGGTGGCGGTCGATCGGCGCGGAGACGGCGAGAGCGCGCTTACAACGGGGAATCGGCGGCGCGCTGCGGCGGCGGCTGCATTTCCACGGCTGTTCGGGGCGTTTTCGCGACGGCTTTTCCGGAGAGAGGCTTTCGACGGTCGAGCGAACGCGGGGGTGGTGCTGTTGGCGGCGCGATGACGGCACTGAGGAAAAAGGGGACGAAGGGGCGCGCCGGCGCGATGAGCGCTGGAAGGGGATGAATGGGGGGTATACAGGGTGGACAAGGGAAGCGGCGATATTGATGGGTTATTCATGGCTTCGGGAAAAGTGGTGACGTCATTTTTTGAAATTTGTCTGAAGTGGGTTTGAGATGGGGTGGGTTTTTGGGTCGTGAGGCGGGATGTGTTCGAAGAGGTTGGTGTACGAGGGGCGGTTAAGAATTGGTTGCACAGGACCGCGGAGGCATTGTTTTGAATACTCCTCGTATGAGCCGAATTGTTTATTGATTGATAGAAACCGCTCATTTGGTTTCCCGAAAATTGGGGGAACTCGATATTAGCGTTGTGGTTAGTGTTGCTTTGTAGGGGAAGGTGGGAGTGGATGGAATATCTGAGAAAGTGAACGTTATATCTTTTAATTAATAAGTTAAATTTATTTCATTTAATTAAATATCTACGAAAAAAATTAATCGTGTTTTCTAACGAATTATGAAGTCCTCCAGACCAGTTTCAAGGTTTTGTTGGAATTTTCAAAAAAAAAAGTTCGTATTAAATATTTCAACACACTAACAAAATAGAAAAAAAAATGATCAATTTATTTGGACACAATGAAACACATCTAAAAAAAAATGAGAAAAAGCCACAAAAGGCTGTAAAAAAGCGAAAATAAAAAAGGGCGCCAAAAATAAAAAACAACAAAAATCAAGAAAAAAGGGCAATTTAAAAAATTACAAAAAATGATCAAAAAAAGATGAGAAAAAAAGCTGATGAGTAAAAAAAACCTAATAAAAAAAAAGTAATGAAAATGTGACGAAGAAAAAAGCGATAAAACTAGGACAAAAAAAGACAACAAAAAAAACTATAAATAAGGGACTAAAAAATAACACGAAAAAAGGACCAAAAAAAGGAGACGAAAAAAAGGAACAAAAAGCTATAACAAAAAAAGGCAACTAAAAATAAAAGTAACAAAAAACGACAAGAAACAATGCGACAAACAAAATCTAGCAAAAAAAAAACGAAAAATATCGAAAAAAGAGCAATAAAAAAGAGTCAAAAACGGGTTACAAAAAAAACGATCAAGAAGAGGTCACAAAAAAGGTGACAAAAAATGATAAAAAACACGACAAAGAAAGGACAAAAATCCTCAATATAAAAACAACAAAAAAAGCCACAAAAAACTTCAAAAAAAAAAATAAAAAAATAAGTTAAAAAACACAAAAAAATTAAGCGATAAAAAAGCACAAAAAAAAACAACGAAAGACTAAAACACGATTTAAAAAAGGCGACTTAAAAAGAGACAAAAACCGGTTGCAAAAAAAAGAGCGATTAAAAAAAAGCGACACCGAAAAAGCCACAATAAAGATGACAACAAAAAAGAAAAAAAAACCGACAAACATAGGCAACAAAAAAACGATAAAAAACATCAAAATAGACGAAAAAATCGCTAAAAAATTTTACAAAAAAGGGATTAAAAAAATCGTACAAAAAAAGGTGGCACAAAAAAGCGGGGAAAAAGAGACAACGAAAGGCCACAATAAAGATGATCAATAAACAAACACGAAAAAAATGCGATAGCGAAAAAACTTGCATATAAGAGCAACAAAAAAAGAGGATCAAAAATCGAAAAAAAAAGCGTCAACTATTTGACGCTTTTTTTTGACTATTCAAAACCCTGTTACAAAAAAAAAACGGTGGTAAAAGGGACCGAAAAAAGCGTTAAAAAAAGGCTGAGAAAAGGGCGAGCATAAAGAAAAATGAAAAATAAAATACCACAAAAAGCGACTGAAAAAAGAAATTAAAAAAATGACCAAAAATCGTCAAAAAAGTCAACAAAAATGTCGCAAAAATATAAAAACCTAAAAAAATGATCACAAGGAATACATATAACAAAAAAATGGCAAAAAACGGAAGACAAAAGAAAAGTAACCAAAAAAAAAATTATATAAAAACGATGATAGACATGACAAAAAAGTTCAAAAAAATTCCAACAAGAGAAAAGCCGACAAAAAATCAATAAAGCAACAAAGAACAAAGAAAAATCGTAAAAAAACAATAAAAAATGGGAGCCAGAATTGCTACAAGACATCGATAAAAAAGGCCGTAAAGGAGTGAAAAAATGGTTACATAACATGCAAAAAAGTGGTAAAAAAGGGGTTCGAAAAACGACAAAAAAAGTCAAAAAAGACAACAAAAATGCGAATAAAGACCAAAAAATTGATAAAAAAAGTCACAATCAAAAACCGGTTAGAAAAAAAGCGATAAAAAAGAGATCGAAACAAAGCGTCAAAAAAAAAAGCCTGAGAAAGGGCGACGATAAACAAAAGTGAAAAACAAAAGACCACAAAAGGCGACCGAAAAGGAGATTAAAAAACAACTAAAAAGTCAAAAACTGGTAACAAAAAATGCGATAAAAAATGGGACCAAAAAAACTCACAAGGCTGACAAGAAAAGATAAAAAACAGCAAAAAATCGTCAAAAAAATAACAACAAAAATGCCACAAAAAAACGATTAAAAAAGCTATAAAAAGACTGAAAAAATGGTCATAAGAAACACAACAAAAGAGCGGTAAAAAAAGACGAAAAACTTAAAAAAGTCGAAACAATACAACAAAAAAAGATCATAAAAAAGGTGTCCAAAAAAGCGACAAAAAAAGGGCAGCAGGAAGGTGATAAAAAAAATAAAAAAACGACAAAGAGAACAAAATTGATAAAAAAATGGCAACAAAAAAAGGTGACAAAAAATCGAAAAAAGAATGGCATTAAAGAGTGAAACCCGGTTACAAGGGGCGATAAAAAAGGTGGTAGAAAGGCGTCAAAAAAAAGTGAGAAAAAAACATCGAAAATGCCACAATTAAGTTGAGCAAAAATAGAGAAAAAAAAAAGAAACAAAAGCAACAAAAAAAAAGGAAAAAAATCATGAGAGAAAAAAAGGTAAAAAAAAACAACAAAAAACGCTAACAAAAATAGCACCACAAAAACTCGATAAAAAGGCTATAAAAGAGTAAAAAGGTGGTCACAAGAAACATCACAAAAGAGTGGTAAAAAAAGTAAGACAAAAAAATGTAAAAAAAGTCGAAAAATTACGACCAAAAAAATTATAAAAAGGTAACCGAAAGAAGCGACAAAAAAAGTCACAAGACCAAAAAAAAACATAAAAACCCGTCAAAGAAACAGCAAAATTTGTCGAAAAAAATGACAACAAAAAAATCAATAAAAAAAGAACGATAAAAAAGGTGGTACAAAGCGTCAAAAAAAAGAGACAGACAAAAATGGCCATGAAAAGACCACAACAAAACTTCCAAACAAAAGCAATAAAAAAGCGACAAAAAAGATGGTGAGAAAAAAAAAGGGTAAGTAAAACAAAAAGAGAAAAAAAGTCCACAAGGGTGACAAAAAAAAAAGATAAAAAAACGGCAAAAAAAATCGTAAAAAAAAGACAATGGGAGCAAAAATTGCTACAAGAAATCGATAAAAAAAAGGTTGTAAAAAAGTGAAAAAAATGGCCACAAAAATTTCAAAAAAGCGGTAAAAAAAAGAAGGCAAAAAACCCAAAAAAAAAGGCGACCGAAAAACGACAAATAAAGTCAAAAAAAAAACAACAAAAATGCTAATAAATGCCAAAAAATTGATACAAAAAAGGGATTAAAAAAAGGTGAGACAAAAACGCGGAAAAAAAGAGATAATGAAAAGCCGCAATAAATGTGAACAAAAAACAAAGAAAACGACAAAAATATGGAATCAAAAAAACAAGAAAAAAAGCGACAACGAAAAAACTTGCATAAAAAAGCAATAAAAAAACGGCAAAAAACGAAAAAAAAAGGTCAAACAATAAAAAACTGGTTAGAAAAAAAGCGGTAAAAAAGGGACCGAAAAAAGCTGAGAAAGGGCGACGATAAACAAAAGTGAAAAAAAAGGCCACAAAAGGCGACCGAAAAAAAAGATAAAAAAAACAATTAAAACGTCAAAAATTCAAAAACTGGTTGCAAAAAAGACGATAAAAAATGGGACCAAAAAAAAAAGACGTCAAAAAAAAGGCTGTGAAGAGGGCGACCATAAACTAAAAGTCAAAAAGAAAAGGCCACAAAAAGCGAGCGAAAAAAAGAGATAAAAAAACGGCTTAAAATCGTCAAATATATATATATAGAAAAAAGACAGGGATGACAAAATGCTGAAAAAAATTACAACAAAAAAAATCGACAAAAAATCGATAAAACACCAAAGAAAAAACTTCCAAACAAAACCAACAAAAAAAAATTGGTCTAAAGAGTTTAGACAGTACTTCCCTCGCTGTCGGAAACTTGACGACTGCATGCCTATTGTGTGTGTGAGTAAAGTAAATTTACGCTTTCATTTATTTTCTTGAATCACCCTGTATATGCAAATCCAAAAAATATGAATGGGGTGATAGATCACAAGTACAGACTGATCATATTTTGTACATTTTAGATATGATTTATTCGGCAAATTTTCGAGCTGACGTCATCAAGTTTTTGGAGGGGATAAGCAAATATATTTTGACTAAACATTTATTATGCTCTTTATAACCTTAAAACATCTGCAAGATGTCAGAGCATTCCGTTTTGTAGTTCCTGATTAAATCAATAAAATATATTTACGCATTCATTAATTTTTTTGAGTCACTCTGTATATGCAAATCCAAAAAATATGAATGGAGTGATAAATGACAAGTAC